CCAAGTTCATAAATTCCCTGAGGGAAGATTACGCAAATGAGCCGCTGACGTCACTTCGTCTTCTTCTGCTTTGGGTTTACTGGCAGGCCGCAAACCACTTCACGGCGTATACTGCCACCCGAAGTCCCCGGCCGGAAGTCCCCGGAGTTGGGGACTGGCTTCAGTAGAAGCTGCTGGGACTCCCAGCAGCGTCTACCGAAGCCTTCCGAGTAAATCGCCAGAACGCCGACACATCTCCACCGCTCCCATGTTTTATTTTGTCTCTCTGCGTTTGTGCGCTGGGCGAATGCTAATGCTAATAATGCTAATGCGAGGATAATAAAATGGCGGCTCTACAAAACATTTCAGAGTTTTACGGGGCGTGGTTTGCAATTCGCCCAGCCAATCAGAACTGGGGCACTTTTTTCCCCCAGGAAAGTACCATCTCTCAGCAGGCACTACAAATGGGGGTAAAAGTTCCCGGCACTCAGTACTCTTTTTGGTGTGAACGCGACATAATGGACTAATGGAACTAAACGCGAAAAGTACGGGGAAAAGTACTCCGGTGTGAACGCGGCTATTGACTTGCATAGAGCTCCCTGAACGCTGGTAATAGACGAGTTGGGATGGCGGAGAAATGCTCTCCGCAGACCCATTCTCACAGCGTTATAAACCTTTTTCTAACTCAATATCAAGCCACACTTATTGTTTTTACTTCGGCTGTGAGTGTTTGTGTGTGCTCAGGATGAGTTTCGCTTGTTCTCGCTGTATCGCCGACCCGGAAACCTGTCCGCTCCTCGCAGCAGCTCGCAGCAACTAGCCTCGCAACGTCCCGACCAATCAGAGCACACTGGGCTCACAGGGAGGGGGGGGGGCAGGAGCTCCAACAAGCCGTTTAGGACAGAGAGTGAATACACATACTATACAGAGATGCTGTATGAGAAACCAATGTGAGTTTGGAACATTGCACAATTTAAATCTATTCTAGTAGACCTCAACAATGGAAATATGATCAGTAGAAATGGCCATGACATGGGACCTTTAAATCCATCACAGGCCTCCCGAGAAAAATTGGTCTAGAACCTTCACTGGGGTTTGTTTCTGGAAAGTTCAGTTGAGCGCCACACTGTGATAAACATAGGGAGGACTCTGGGTGTCCTGGCTCTAACAACAAACAGCTGAACCCCCCCCCACCACCTACAGAACGGCTTTACACTGCTGCTAATAAGGCAGAATACAGGATACTATTAATTAGAAATGCCCTGACAGAGCACAATAGAGCTCTTCATGTGTATAGTGTGTGTGCCTCAAGGGATGTAGGAATAATTAACCTGATATATAGGCAACGATATATGCTTCCACATGTGTTCAACTGTACCGTTGCATGTGCGTTTTCTCTGCCAAGAGCTTTATTGTCTGAGCCAAAACAAATGTAAGAATGAAAAGATGTATTTGTCTTTGTTGTGAAGGATTGTGTAACATACACCCATTACCAAGATATGCCTTTGATACAGGAAACGGATCAAAGAGAGCGGAAGGTCATACAGACAGTTCAGGAAATGTTGAATTGATGATCTTTCTGCTCCACTTCTAGTACTTCCTGACCAACAATGAGGTTTACATACAACTTAATTCGCTCTTAATGCTCCACCTGATTTATGACCTTAGAATATTTTTTTGTGTAATGTATCTTCTAAATGAAACAAAAGGCAAGCAACACAAAATGTTTTTAAAGATATTGCATTGTTTTGCCACTAGCTGACAAAAACACAAAGCACTCAAATATTAACTATACAAAGTTACATGGCTTACAAAAATAGCAGATAAGTTGTGTATGATTCATCATTCACTCTCCTTTGGGCAATGTTTTGGACTCCACCACCTGCTGAGAAAAAGATTGTCTCTTTGGCTGCTAGACATTTTACTTTCCTTATATGTTTGTTGCTAACTGTGTCTGTGTACTGCATGGCGTACATTTGGTTTATCAGTAGTCTTAGTTGTGTGTGGTGCCTCACAGGGATCTTGAGACAGACATATTCATATACTACTGTAATAGTGCCATAAAACCTAAATACCGGTCTAAAAGAGGCAAAAATACATTGTAGCAAAATAAGCATTAATTTTGAATCATGTTTCTGCCCACCAGGCAAAAGTATTCTTCTCGAAGTCTATGGTTTTTTTAACGGGTTGGTAGTATGAAATAAGGTCTGTGGTAAAGACAAGCTGGAGAGATTTTCAAGTATTTTTCTATGACATAAAATACATCATTAAATACTCCACTCGCGAATGTCCGAAGCTTCTATGTGTCATTAAATTGTTGGTTGCTAACACGGTCTAAATGAGACTACGAAACGTCATCAAGGCGAACATTAGCATTAGCAAGCCTTTAGCTTAGTGGTGGAGATATGTAGTCATGCAACCGTGATGTAGTTTGTCTATAGCCTAACGTTAGCTTTTTACTTCTGGCCATTGCATTTAAGCTTCAAAAATCAAAGTGGTGTTAATATGTGGAGATTAACCTGCTGAACAAATCATATTTAAGTATCACACACAAAATATTTTATAAACGTATGCCACCCACCCTTGTTGGACTTGCTCTCCCTGTATACTTCCCTCTGCTTTTAACACCCCCGTTTATTTGACTTTTGGGGTTTATGCACTTGCTAAGAAAAGCTCCCCTCTGTAAATGTTACAGCCATTGGGTTTTTTGGATTAAATCCTCAGCTCCTGGTAACTAATCACAGCGTGTGCTGGCCACAAACATTTATTTTTCTACAATATACGGAATATTGAGGTAGCCCTTGCGATGCTAACTTCTGGGTTGAACAAAGACAAAACAGTTAGAAATCACTTACCACTCCATGTGTGCTGCATCCCACAGTCTGACCACTATGGCTGTCTGGACTACTTTTTGTTGTCTGTTTGCATCCAGTTTGATTTCCCATGCTCAGCACAAACACCTCATTACTGTCAGCCACATGATGGAAATCAGTCTAAATCTCAAGCAAACAAAAAACACATCACAACTAGTTTTTAATCCAACAGTTGGGAGGTCATCCTTCTTTCCTTCCGAAACACAAAGGCATTTTTAAGCCTCTATACATTTCAAAGGCCTGAGCCAGAAACTGGAGCCTTGCTACACTTTTCAATGGACACGGGCTGCACCCCCTCCAACGCTGTCAATTAAAGTGCAATTAGTCACACCATTGAAAAAGCTTTCCACCACTTCATACCAGAGCGTCTCCACAGCAACCAGCTTAGTTTTGTGTGTGTTCACCAGACTATGGGAGTTAAGGATTTCATGTAACGGGATAATGTAATCAGGATACTAAAAAAGGTAACTGTATTCCTTTACAGTTATATAAACAAATCAGATTACTGTTACATTTCTAAATTCTACAATTTCTAGCAGGATTACAGTGTTAGTAAAAACTAAAAAGGTCATATAGTGTTTGTTGAAAAAGGATCAGATGTTATCTCTTCTCTGTGAGCTGTACTGTTCTGTAGGATAATACTTTAAGTGTGAATCTATGCTTCTACTGCCTGAATCTGCTTTATGGTTTTCACTTTCTTTGCTTCATTTGTTCTGTTTTTAATTCAGCAGGTGAACCTATATGTTCATAACATAGTGTGTGAGATCTTAACTGTGTGTGTTAAACTAAAACGGAGCATTTTCTGTCAGCTCAGATTTTATTTCTGCTTTTTAAAACTGTAGTATGTGCTCATGTGTTTCAGTGTTGGTGTATAGGCTGCTGCCTGAATATGCTGAATGAAAGGCAGGTTTTCCAATAGATAAAATCTCTGAGCAGAGGACTCATTTTTTATCCTAAATATCTGGGTGCCATCTTTTCTATGGTAGCTTTGTTCTGTTGTCTTATATTATACACTAAACAACGTCCTATTGTTTTGTATTTACTTGCATTGCATTTGATATTGAGGCTATCCAAAAGTAACGCTGAGTTATCAGGTTACATTACTTTCATATTTCGATACTCAGATTAGGTTACTTCATACATTCTTTTACAAGTAACTATTAATTGTAATTAAACTTAAAGCACCAGCTCCATATCGTAGGGACTGCAGCTGTTGGCCCTGATGAACTAACTCCCTCACAGCCCCCACTAACTTAAACATCACGCTCTGATTGATTGCCTGAAATCATGCTGCAATTATTGACCTCCAGTGAAGTCACTCCTTCCTCCCAGCTTTTGCACAAAGAAACTAGTACACAGATGCAGCGTATAATGTTGTGTTAAAGCAAAGTGTGCCTCGCGCCAACAGGATCTGAGCATGAGGGCTTTTTCCTTTTCCTTTTTCAGCGAGTCAGGCTGCTGAAAAACCTTTTTCAAGATTTCTTTTTTCAGCAAGACATCATCATCTGGAAACACTTATTCTGTGATTTACAAAGGCCCCCTATCGGATTTCCCCCAGCACAAAAGAGCAGACAGCAGGAGAAACGTAGAAAATTCAAACCATTACAGGAAGATTGATCCGAGCAAACTGCACTCTCAGTCTTTTTTCAGTATCAAGTTTGAATGTGTCTGACGTAAGGAAAAACATGACATATAGAATAAATGTGCCCTATGAAACAGAGCTTAGAAAACAGTTTATGTGCTTAATATTTTCAGTGCTCTATCTGTCTTTTATCCATCCACTGTGAGCTTTTACCTCACATCTTGCAAGCTAACTCCACAGAAACAGCACCGCTCCACCATTGACCCACTTTACTGTAAATATGCCTTCAAGACACAACGTCTGGCTTCAATTACCCCACCCAGATTTGGCATACAACATCACAGGCCTCTATAAAATTATCATGGCGGTTGTAGATGTGGCTTAATACACACTGCCTTGTGTTACTTGATATGTTCTCTTTGATCTTTTCAATTGGTTAGGACAGAACTTTCTCATCTGTGTGAATTTGAAGAGCCACTTTCTAGTCCCTTCGGTCGGTGCCAGTTTATGTGCAGGGACATGAAAAGATGGGGAGTCAAACAGCTAAATTTAACTTTCTCTTTCAGGTCGGAGGTGTCAAAACTACAACTCCCAGGATGCACCAGGGCAGATCTGAGTGTTGGTGAAAGGCAGAACCAGAGATGTTGTTCGGACTCCCAACACGACCGATGTTCCCCGACAGGAAGAGCTGTGACGACCCCGGATAAAAGTAAGACATGTTTACCATCAGAGGTGGGAAGTAGTGGAGTACAAATACTTCGTTACTGTACTTAAAGTGGACCTATCATGCTATATTTGAATAATATATTGTAGGGCCATACCTATATAAAACATGTCTGTGAAGTTTTTGTTTCAAAATACCAAACAGACCATGCATTTTAGCCATGCCTCTACAGCGCCACGTACAGGCCTGGCATATGTACTACAGCGTCTCCAGCGCTTTCGAGCGGCAATGGCCGTGGCCCAACCCCCCATTCCCCTGATAGGTGGAGAGTTGCCCATATAGGCGGAGCACCCCTTTTCTGACGTCAGAAAAATTCAAATCTGTATCAGCTCCGTTGCAGCCCCGTTTTTAGAGATTTGGGTATGGAGGAAAAGAGAGAGGGTTGTGTTTTCTGACACTTGGTGAGTTCCCTGGAACACCGGGGACACATATTCATGTATAAAAGATGTACAAAAGTGCATTTTGCATGATAGGTCCCCTTTAAATAAATTTTTCTGGTATCAGTATTTTACTCCACGACTTTTTACTTTTACTTCTTACATGTTGAACACAAATACCTGTACTTTCTACTTCTTACATTTTGAACACAAATACCTGTACTTTCTACTTCTTACATTTTGAACACAAATACCTGTACTTTCTACTTCTTAAATGTTGAACACAAATACCTGTACTTTCTACTTCTTACATGTTGAACACAAATACCTGTACTTTCTACTTCTTAAATGTTGAACACAAATACCTGTACTTTCTACTTCTTACATGTTGAACCCAAATACCTGTACTTTCTACTTCTTACATGTTGAACACAAATACCTGTACTTTCTACTTCTTACATTTTGAACACAAATACCTGAACTTTCTACTTCTTACATTTTCCAAACAGGCTGGTTCCTTTAGTTTGAATGTGTGTTTGGTGGCGTGATCATTATTATTTAGAGTCATTGCATGCCTATTGATTTGAACACGATCCGTGTATCCATCATTTCCTGGTCTTCTCTAAAGAAGAGGGACCAATGAAAACATTGTCATGTTGCCGTTGTTCAGCATGGAAACATTCATTAGCTAACAATGACATTATTGTTCTATTAATATAAAGGGAGGTCAGGTACTCTTTAAAACAGCTGCTAGTTATGGGTACTTTTTACTGAAGTACATTTCAAAGCCCAAACTTCTATACTTTTACTTGAGTAAAGAAGTTTAGTCAGTACTTCTACTTTTACCAGAGTATTTTTAAACACGAGTATCTGTACTTCTACTTGAGTAAAGGATGTGTGTACTTTTGCCATCTCTGTTTACCATGAAACTCCTCGGTGGTGTAAAGAACATGAATGTATGTCCTGCATCTTGTATTGAGTGGTGTTTACTAAACATGTGTATCTGGGTCTCCATGAGGTTCCTGAAGGCAGACTACTTCATTTCAAGAACTGCCAACACATGGAGACACCAGAACGTGATGAACCAGCTGCAGAAAGCAAAATAGGATGATTATATAACCTAAATAAATAAATAAGGAGACATACTGTCCAAAGAAAGGTCCACAAGTGAATGATGTAATGTTATGTCATAGCTGTGACTATATAAAGAGATTGTATTAGATGACTGGGGTTTTCTTGCAATCAAACAGTCCTGAGATATCGAGTAATTATAAAACTATTAGTTTTAGGGGACACAACAAAGGCTGCTGTTGTGGATCCAATACCTTAAAAACTCAGGACATTATAATATACAACTTTTGACAAGTCAGTTTGGAGCATTGGAAAATCTTGCTGGACAAAGGACATTTGGTCCAAAGATAATGATGACTTAAATGAGTAAGTTATCGTTGGTAGTTGATTTAGCTTTTAAAATATCTACCCCGGTTCACAGACATCTCTTTGTCAATGTAAGTCAATGGGAAAAAGTAATTTTTGGTCCCAAAGACATCAAAGACAGACACCAGGTTGTAGTTCCACCCTTTGGCCACAACAATTGCTTCAACGTCTTGTGCACTTCCTGGAGAGTTGAATATGAACTGACGATTATACGACTAACATTTGTTCCATTGTGTATATATCAGTTATATACTTTTACTATCAGTTGTTCTATAAAATGTCGAGAAATACTAAAATAAAAATGTCTTCAGAGTCTAATGTGACATCTCGTTGCTTGTGTTGTCCAACAAACAGTCCAAAGCCGATAGATGTTCAATCCTCTTTCTGGAGTAAGACAATAATTGGTGTTTAATTGCTTACGTTCAAGCCTTTTCTTCCCTAAACCTCTGGCTACCACTCCATGTTAAATGGGTATTGTGATCATGCTAACAATAAATGGTGTGTTTTGTCGTCTAGTGGAGGAACAGCTGTTTCGTTCTGTGGAAGGCCAGGCAGCGTCTGATGAGGAAGACGATAAATGGACCGAGGATCAGCAGAGGCAGGTGGACGAGGTGAAGAGGATCCTGACCAAGCTGTCCTGCTGTGGGGAAAGGTACCAAACATCCATATAATGTCTATATCATTAAGCAATGGCATGCTATACTGTGGAGTATGATGTATGATCTTTTTATGTGAGAGCCTCAAAGCCAAAACCAGGAATTAGTGTTGTTTCCCTTGGAAATACATGTTAGAGTGATTATGTTAGATCAAAGCAACAGATTAGCAATCATGCTATGTTACATTAGTCGGTTAAAACTCTGCCTTGTAGGTTAAAGCTTGGTGTAGGGTTGACTTGTTTCTGTAGGCGATCCAAAAGTAGCATTGCATTGACAAAACCCCCAAAAATGGACACAAAAAGGTTTCCCCTTTCGATGCCACGTAAGTTAAACTCCAATCCTTTTTTTACATCCCTGAGCCTGACATACCTTACGTTCTGCTTTCTGGAACATGTTGTTGTTCAGGTGCGACGACAAGGCGTTGAAGAAGCTGATGTCTCACTACGGCAGCTCCAGGAGCGAGGAGAGCTGCAGCGCTGTGCTGGAGCTGCTGGAGAGAGTGACCCGGCTGAACAAACATCTGGAGCTGAAGGAGAGCTGCGCAGAGGTAGACATGGAGCAGGTAAACACTGACCTCACTGGAAGTATATATGCACAGTTAGTGTTGCAGTATTAAACTGGAGCAGGTAAACACAACTCCACTTACCTCCATCTCATCAGGGTGGGCTTCTCCTCAGATCCATCAGAAACAGAATACCTTTATTCGTCCCACAAAGGGTACATGTTCCTTGTTACATCGAGTAAAGAGACAAAGATAGCTTAATATTAATTGAGAAGCATGCATAACATATTAAAGATAGAAATTGAAAGTACAATTTACAAAATCCAGTAACAAAAACCAAACAAAGAAATTACAAAAATGTAAAATGAAAATAGTGTGATAGCAGCCAGGTAATAATATTTATATGCACAGTTATTTACAGATTGATTACATAAGTTGAATTGTCTAACTAAGGGACAGCAGCCAGTAATAATAATTATAAGTATGAAGCGGTATATATATATATATATTTATTGCACATAAGTAGTATTGCAGTATTAAACTGGATTAGAGACGACTGCTGAAGGTTGTTTTGAAAGTGGAGAGCTTCAAAGGCAAAAACCACAGCGAGCGGCTAACCCAACCAGCCCCTCTCAGTGTGTGTGTGTGTGTGTGTGTGTGTGTGTGTGTGTGTGTGTGTGTGTGTGTGTGTGTGTGTGTGTGTGTGTGTGTGTGTGTGTGTGTGTGTGTGTGTGTGTGTGTGTGTGTGTGTGTGTGTGTGCAGCTGTTTCTCACTGGAGTCGACCACAGAAACACTCCCTCTCCTTGTCCCACATGACACTTAGGAATATCATAAATTAAAGCTCTCTTGCTACAGCAGTATTTTCACAGCACAGGAAGACAGGCAGAAGATGACGTAATGTGTTCCCAGTACGTCCCGCTCTCCGAGAGGAAAAGTTCAAACTAAACAAAGTCGTGACTGTGAGGCTTTGTTTATGTGCAGGAAGTGTGGGGTAAGACCTCTGTCCTTCAGTACGCCATGACGTAAAGGTGCACTGTGGGATTTCCACACAGACCTATAGTGCCTTCTGGAAACTCACTGTAACTCTAGAAATTGTTATTCATATTTTTTAGGTAAAGTTATGTTTTATTACGATGTTAACAGGGTTATTTTAAAAATGTAATCCGTTACAATTACTACTTACCTGTGAACAAATGTAATCCGTAACCTAATCCAAGTATCAAAATATTAAAGTAATGTAACCTGGTTAGTTTCCAATACCTTTCGATTACCTCACTATCTAATGAAATTAAAATTAAAATACGACGTTTTTAATAAGTGTATTCGACAACATAACAATGTGATGAAACCAAGATATTTATGATCAATAATGATTTTATTTACAGGAAAACCTACCTTTTTTCAGCACATACTACAGTTTAAAAAAAGATTCTGAACTAAAATAAATTTAGTAGGATTGTCCTCGTAGTAATCCCCAATTTTTGTAATGAAACAGTAATCTTATTACATCTTTTTCATATGTAACTGTACGGGAATACAGTAAAAAAAATGTATCCCGATTATGTTATCCCGTTACAAGTAATCCATTACTCCCCAAGCGTGGCAGGTACACTAAAGGACGTTTACCTCCAGGGTTAAGTTAATAATAATAATAATAATAGATTACATTTGTATAGCGCCTTTCAAGGGACCCAAGGCCGCTTTACATGGTGAACAAACAAACAAACAAGAGGGAACAAATAATAAAATAACAATTAAATAAATAGCAGTAGTCAAAGTCAGTCAAAGTCAAATTAAACTTTATTGTCAATCTTTCAGTTTGTATGATTGAGAGATCGAAATACCGTTTCCCACAATCCCAAATACAAAAATACAAATATATATAAAATTATGTATAACAATATGTATATCCTATATATACACAATCAACAGACACATTCATACATATGCACACATTAATAAGACAGAAATAAAAGCACAACAATCAATATATACAAAATAACAGTCACTTCAATATTTTAGGAGTGGAAGCAGGGGGACTGTGATGGGTAAGGGGTCATTTACATTCCTAATACATTTTTAAAGTAACCCTCCTGACCCTTGTGTCTGCTGTGTCCTCCAGATGAAGGACACTCTGGTGCAGGAGCTCCAGCAGAAGGCCGAGGAAACAGAGCTGCTGCAGGTGGAGCTTCAGATGCTGGAAACTGAGAGGGTTCGTCTGTCTCTGGTGGAGGAGAAGCTGATCGACATCCTGCAGCTCCTCCAGCAGCTCAGAGACCTGGTGAGATACATGTGTAGTACGAGGAACTATCGCTATAACTCTGAAGAGGCTGATCAGTATTCCAGTATTTTGGCGTCAAAGCTGCACGTGTTGAAGAGGACATATTTTGCTCACTTTCAGGTGTATATCAGTATGTAGCGTCTCTACTTTAAAGAGTTCTCTCCTGCTGATGTTCAGGTGTATATCAGTGTGTAGTGTCTCTACTTTAAAGAGTCCTCTCCTGCTGATGTTCAGGTGTATATCAGTATGTAGTGTCTCTACTTTAAAGAGTCCTCTCCTGCTGATGTTCAGGTGTATATCAGTATCTAGTGTCTCTACTTTAAAGAGTCCTCTCCTGCTGATGTTCAGGTGTATATCAGTATGTAGTGTATCTACTTTAAAGAGTCCTCTCCTGCTGATGTTCAGGTGTATATCAGTATGTAGTGTCTCTACTTTAAGAGTCCTCTCCTGCTGATGTTCAGGTGTATTTCAGTATGTAGTGTCTCTACTTTAAAGAGTCCTCTTCCTGCTGATGTTCAGGTGTATATCAGTATGTAGTGTCTCTACTTAAAGAGTCCTCTCCTGCTGATGTTCAGGTGTATATCAGTATGTAGTGTCTCTACTTTAAAGAGTCCTCTCCTGCTGATGTTCAGGTGTATATCAGTATGTAGTGTCTCTACTTTAAAGAGTCCTCTCCTGCTGATGTTCAGGTGTATATCAGTATCTAGTGTCTCTACTTTAAAGAGTCCTCTCCTGCTGATGTTCAGGTGTATGTCAGTATGTAGTGTCTCTACTTTAAAGAGTCCTCTCCTGCTGATGTTCAGGTGTATATCAGTATGTAGTGTCTCTACTTTAAAGAGTCCTCTCCTGCTGATGTTCAGGTGTATATCAGTATCTAGTGTCTCTACTTTAAAGAGTCCTCTCCTGCTGATGTTCAGGTGTATATCAGTATGTAGTGTCTCTACTTTAAAGAGTCTTCTCCTGCTGATGTTCAGGTGTATATTAGTATGTATTGTCTCTACTTTAAAGAGTCCTCTCCTGCTGATGTTCAGGTGTATATCAGTATGTAGTGTCTCTACTTTAAAGAGTCCTCTCCTGCTGATGTTCAGGTGTATGTCAGTATTTAGTGTCTCTACTTTAAAGAGTCCTCTCCTGCTGATGTTCAGGTGTATATCAGTATGTAGTGTCTCTACTTTAAAGAGTCCTCTCCTGCTGATGTTCAGGTGTATATCAGTATGTAGTGTCCTCTACTTTAAAGAGTCCTCTCCTGCTGATGTTCAGGTGTATATCAGTATGTAGTGTCTCTACTTTAAAGAGTCCTCTCCTGCTGATGTGCAGGTGTATATCAGTATGTAGTGTCTCTACTTTAAAGAGTCCTCTCCTGCTGATGTTCAGGTGTATATCAGTATGTAGTGTCTCTACTTTAAAGAGTCCTCTCCTGCTGATGTTCAGGTGTATATCAGTGTGTAGTGTCTCTACTTTAAAGAGTCCTCTCCTGCTGATGTTCAGGTGTATATCAGTATGTAGTGTCTCTACTTTAAAGAGTCCTCTCCTGCTGATGTTCAGGTGTATATCAGTATGTAGTGTCTCTACTTTAAAGAGTCCTCTCCTGCTGATGTTCAGGTGTATATCAGTATGTAGTGTCTCTACTTTAAAGAGTCCTCTCCTGCTGATGTTCAGGTGTATATCAGTATGTAGTGTCTCTACTTTAAAGAGTCCTCTCCTGCTGATGTTCAGGTGTATATCAGTATGTAGTGTCTCTACTTTAAAGAGTCCCCTCCTGCTGATGTTCAGGTGTATATCAGTATGTAGTGTCTCTACTTTAAAGAGTCCTCTGCTGATGATGTTCAGGTGTATATCAGTATGTAGTGTCTCTACTTTAAAGAGTCCTCTCCTGCTGATGTTCAGGTGTATATCAGTATGTAGTGTCTCTACATGTCTCCATGCTTTAATGTTCAAAAAGCTCTTTATTTTTCTCATACTGCCTGTGCTGCAGCACCTCTTTTCACCCTCTGTCTGAAACCAGAGCCCAGTCTGCTCTGATTGGTTAGCTGGCCGGCTCTGTGGTGATTGGTCAACCGCTTAGAGATGTCCCGCCCCTTAGCCTATCACGTACAATGTGTTGGAGTGCTAGCCAATAGGAGCGTAAAGATGTCACTATGTTTCAGAAGTAAACCAATAAGTCAAATGGAGGTGTTTCAGGCAGTTGGGATGGGGGGGGGGGGTCTTTGCAGACAATTTACATGCACAAAAACCTATAGAACACACTACAGGAAAGGGAAACCCCCCTAAAAGCATAATAGGTCCACTCTAACTTATTGATGATTTAATTTAAAAGTCCTCTTCGACCTGTTTTCTGTAATAGGAGTTATGCGGATTCTTGTCCATTATTTTGTGATCCACCCCTCACACTGGGATTGATTTTAGATCTGAGAGCAAATTAATTTCAGTTGTTGAACATGTGTGTGTGAGCCTCTGTGGTTACGAGTCTCAGATTGCCTGTTAAAGCGCCTGTTAATCACAGACAGTCATCTGAGAATAGCTCTCTCTTGTTTCAGAACGTCTCGCGGAGGTCTCTGGGGAAGATCCTGCTCAGCACGCTGGGCTGCTGCAGCGACCCTCAGCACGGTGAGGAGGGCACGCTCGGCCAATAAAATCAATACAAGTCCTGTGAAACGTGATCATGAGCGTTTACTGTTACTCAGGTCGGGGAATTGAATGAAATGCTTGCCTGGTCTTCAGAATCAGAATTCCTTTATTAATCCCACAAAGGGGAATTTACATCGTTACAGCAAAGAGGCAATAATGATAGAGATACAAATAAAAACAGTATTTAGTAAAGTGTCATGCACAAATATGAATTAAATGTATTATGTCAACACATTTTTCATAACTTTATGAGGTATGTTGAAAGCAATAATATTAAGTCGAAACGAATTATTTAAACTTGATATTATTGCTTTAAATTTACCTTATAAAATTATGTGAAATCTGTGGACATAATACATAATACAAGACAACTTTTCCGTTTTTTCAGTGTACACTTTCCAAGTACAAAAAGGTAAGAAGCAGCATCATTAAAACAATAAGTGAAACAACTAGAATGTGATGAAGTATCTGCCAGATGACGGTATATATTGCACAGTGTTGTATTACAGATGTTGGGTATAGTGCATACCCGTAAAAATAAAATAGAATAAAATATGTGCAGTATTGGTACGACAAGTGGAAAGCCGTGCAGATATAAGAGGTAGCTTGGTGTGCAATGTGCAAAATTCGGAGGGTTGAGCAGGACTGACAGTATTAAAATGATGAAAAATGACTCCCTCATTGGTTACTTGTGTTGTGTTTTGTGCACAGGTAAAGCCCACATCCTGGAGGTGCTGAACGCTCTCTACCATGAGCTGGCTGCCTGTGAGATCCTCTCTGCTGCTGGTCCTCTGGAGAGAACGCAGAGTCAGCAGTCTCTGAACACCCTGGTCATCTCCTGCTGAACACCGCCTCCTGCTGGGCCAGTCAAGCTGTGTACAGTGTATTATATTTTAGCATTTATACTCCTCAGATCCTATTATCTATAAAGGGATTTTAGTTCTAGATGCATTAACTAGTATAGCAAAGGGGCTTCATTACATATTAACATTCCAGTTGCCCTCAGGTCAAATCTGACCCGTTTCTAAATGGACTATTTTAGCTTATTGCCACAAAAACAACATGGAGGATTTCATACTACGTTCTTTGTAAGAAAAATGAATGGTCACTACTTTCATTGAATTCTGCGTGTTTTTGTTTTTTTATTTATAGTATCTGGTGTCATTACATGCTGCCATCAAATATTTGATATGGTTTTAAAACAGTATCATGACTAAATGTTGACATGTAATAGTTTATTCACCAAGATGGGTTCCACTGAACTAAAGTCAAAGTAATATTTGTTTTTGCCTTTTATAACTCAAAAATAAGGTTTAGTTTTGTGTAAATGAGGTATATTGACCATAAATCCCATAAACAAGTAAAACTTGTGTTGTGAATTGGAACTAAGTTTAAAATGTGCACAGATATGGGTGATGATGTGCTTCATAGACCGTGAAACCAGGACAAAAGTTGCACAGTTGACGGGAAGACAACCCTAAATTAAGAAAAATTGATGCATATACTTGTTTATTTCATGATCTTCTAATTGTACATAACTCTTTCATGATCCAATATGGATTTTCTTTTTTCCACAACAAAGTGCTGAATGTGAACATGTTAAATAAGCTAAACTTTAAAAGGGCATAAAGGTAGTCTGTGAAATGGATCGACAGGTCAACAACATTTAAGAAAGCTTCCTCATTCATGTAAGTGCATATCATGGTCAAAAGTAGCATGACAAGGTAGTGTTTTTACAAAGGCCTCTGCAGAGACACCAATACTTTGGAGAAAACACTATTTGTGTTTACTTTGCGACACTAAGGCATGATGAAGTTTTACATAAATGTTATGGATACAGTATATTTGCCATTAACCTGCTAAGCTTTTTGATGTGTTGAGGTTGGATGTTAATGTTGATATCTTGAGACTTGATCTATTATGGTGCTAAAATAGGACATTTTTAACATGGGAGGGGACAAGGGTGGCCAAAATGCATAATTCGTTCTGGTTTCTGTGAGCCTTAAGTACAGAGGCTTATCATGTATTCAGAATATTGAATTGGGTTTCATTTAGTTGCCATACGTTGGTCAAACATATTTGAATTGAAGGGCCATTTTTTGCAGCCGCTGAATTGGGACACAGCTACTGCTTGTCGCTAATCACAGAACAATCTACAAGTCAGATAGATTCTTCGACATGTTGACAACCAACAAGAACGATTCAAACAAACAATTGTTCGACAATTCACTGTCATTGCTATTTTCTAATGAGAGATGCAAAACCACTCACTGGTGTTATTAAATCCTGCTATTAAAGCCTTTGACTACATAGCCTGGATTGTTGTGACTTTTCTTTGTTATTGTTTGTATTCATGTGAAAAGGAAATGTCTCCCATTGCTGCCAAATATGAACCTGATAATATTCAAAAAGTACAATAATCTCCCTTAGATATTGAATAAAGTAGCAGTAATCTGTATTATGATCATCCTACTGTAATTTAAAGTAAACATACCTTAATAATGTATTCATAATAATAAAGTGCTTGAGTGGTTTGCATTTCAGCACAAAGCTAGTGAATTGCGTTACTAGGCAACCCGCGAAATCCCGGAAGAAGACTCGTATCATTAATAAATAAACATAATACATTATAATATATATAATTCAGTACAGGAAACACAACAGCTGGGCATTTAGTTTATGGTACAATGTCCGGGAAAAGATAAAGAAACGATAATATAAAACCTGTTTTATTATGTGATTGATAGAGACGTTGGTGCGGCAGTGGAGAGGGAACTATAAACGAACTCTCGCGAGATTTCATGGGTTACCTAGCGACGGGACTCTAACCACACCAGCACATCCAACCTGTCCCTGTTTTGTTTTTACTCCGTTTTCTGTGCTTTTCTCTGGATTAAAAGCTAAGTTAATATGTGTTGATTAAGTTAGTCTGAATGTGTGGAGAGTTTTTGTGGATTTCGGTAACTTTTAGGTGAGTTTAGGCATTACAAACTGCTTTAAAGTCCAGTGAAGATGTCCTCAGTTGTGGCCCAGCCTTTGTTCAGCTTCGGGCTGCGGACAGGAGTGAGGAACAGCGTGAGTTTCTGTGATGAAAACACCGTGGTGTTCCCCTGCGGAAACACCTGTGTGTGCTACAACACCTCCAGGAGGTCTCAGAGGTTCATCCCAGGTAGGAGAAAATATAGTTTACTTACTGTTACACATCTTTAAACTGTACAGTAAGTAGATACCTGAGTATTTCCATTTGCTGCTACTGTGTACTTTTACTCCACTACAGTTCAGAGGTAAATGATGTACTTTAACTGCACTACATGTATTTAATACCTTTAGTTACTTTACAGATCTGGATGAATGATGTGAAATATAATCAAGTGTTAAATCAGACTTTAGTTCCACCTGGAGTAAATTCACAAGCTACCCTGCAGTATACAAAGTCATTCAAACTAGCTGCACCTTTACCAGCTTTGAGAACACTTTAATGATCAATCATTATAAAACATATCATATATATTATTCTGAAATGGACCAATCTGCACAATGACTACTTTTACTGTCGCTACTTTGATGAGAGTACTTTGAGTAACATTTTGAATGCAGGACTTTTACTTGTAACAGAGTATTCCTACACTCTGGTACTTCTACTTTTACTCAAGTACAATATCTGAGTACTTCTACTTGTACTCAAGTACAAGATCTGAGTACTTCTACTTTTACTCAAGTACACAATCTGAGTACTTCTACTTTTACTCAAGTACAAGATCTGAGTACTTCTATCACCTCTGTTAAACTGTCAGATACATTTCTTTAGTGGATTTAAAGTAGGCTTCGGTGCTGTATGAAATGCTAAGATAAGTTAGGATAAGATGTACTTTATTGATCACAATTTGGGACATTTTTGCTGACTGACTTTCAAAGACTGGGACATGAATGCTTTTTGATGCTTTAAACGGTTTCCAGAGAGCCTCGTAATTTAGAAGATCCATTCATATAAACAACACCACCATAGCAAGGGCGCCGGAAGCGGGGGGGCCAGGGGGCCATTGGCCCCCCCACTTTTCAGCCCTGCCCCACATTTTCGCAGCAGCGGATGCCGCGGAACCCTGTACAAATCCCGTTTCAATAATTCCCCTCTACTCTAAAGACGCATCTAAAACGCGATCTGATCTAGTATATTTTGTTATTTGTGATTGTTATATTCAATCTCATTAGCTACAGGCATTTTGTAAAGGGAAAATGACAGCTCTCACTCGCCACTCTGCTCTTCCAGCACTGCTTCCCCTCCCTCTGTTGAAATTATGAATGTAAGGCGTATAGTAATCATACACGGCAGGGTCCGTTACAGTTTGTTTTTATCTGATTTCAAATAAACAAAGTCTTGGCTTTCAGAATATTAAACTTGTTTCTGCAAATTCAGATGATAAATACAACTTTGAAGCTTGTAATGGCATAATTACAAGCGGAGAACGGACGGAGTAACAGCAGGCATAACAACAGCCGGTGTTTTCCCCGGGAAACAAACACAATACACACAAACGCAAAATTACACAAACACACACACGTATACGGGCTTCCCCCAGACCAGTAATCCAAACGAAAATATCTTCCCCCCGTACTAATTTGATCATTTGCTCCGCTAATAATCAATCAGATCGATGGATTCCAGAGAAGAGGAAACTTTAAAGGTCTTTTTCTCAAAATGATGACTAACAGTCATTATATAATGTGACATATTTTGCTTAATATTTTGAGTACAAAAACAATCCTGATATAGCCTATCATTAGAAAGCTAGGAATCTCCTCTTTCCAACAGTGTATACAACTCAAAATGTGTCTTCGGGTCAATGCAACAGTTTCTTCCCCTCCGCTACCGGCCTCTTAAACAACAACAAGGCGTGGCCCCCCCGACACTTTACCTCTGCCACATCATAGACTATGCATTACATTAATGCACACAATGTTCATACTCCTTACTGCACATATTCTTATTTCGCCTTTCAGTTTATATTCTAAAATTCATTCATAGCATTCTATTTCCATGTAAAAAAATTACTGCTTTATTTAATTTGCATTGCTATTTAACTGTATTTTATTACGGTGTAAAAGATTTTTTGTTTTATATTAGATTTCTTGTTTTTTATATTTGATGTATGCACCATGACATAAAGTCAAATTCCTAGTATGTGTGAACCTACCTGGCAATAAACCTGTTTCTGATTCTGATTTCGATGGAGCAGGTCACTTTGCATTAGGTAAAATAAAGCAGGCAGACATAACAGGAAGAATATGTACATTTTAACCATAGACTGTATATATAAATGGACGTAGGGTCCGTGACGTCACCCATAGAATTCTGCAGAGTTGCCGAGAAGCCCTTAGTAGTAGTGATGTGTCAGTCGCGAACGAGCCGGCTCAAAGAGCCGGCTCTTTTAAGTGAACGACGGGAGCCGGCTCGCGCCCGCGAACGAGCCGTTTTTTTGTTTTTGTTATTTGTTGTTAAGTAATACAAGACAGAATGATATGATGATCTCCGCGCTACAGCTGCTCCGTGCATGCATGCAGTGGCATGTAATATCCAAGGATTAGAGACTGTTGCTGCTGTTTTGAGCATTGCAATACATTTATTTGTATTGTTTTTTTATGATTAGAGACGGTTGGATGCTGCTGTAGCCTACTAAGCATTGCAATATATTTATTTTCACTATGTTATTTATTTATTATGATTATCCTTGGGCTCAGCAAAGATTTTATTTCAGCTGTTGCTGTCTTTTTTTCTATAGTTAATACTGAAATAGAGCCCTGCTGTTTTATCAGGGCCTTTTCTTTAAATATAATTTTAAAATGTCGATACAGTAGCCCCTTTTTATAAATGTCTATGCTTAAGTTTTTATAGGTGTTGCTATCTGCTTTGTGTAGCGTGGTTCTACAAGCAAGTCAGTGCATTCATGGGGTGGTATCAGAGAGATACAAGGGTCTGTAAATGCAATGAAAACAATTGGCCACAAGCAAATAATTGATATTAAACATGTAATTTTTACTTTTGAATACTTCAGTACAAAGGATGTATTGGAATAATTTAAGTGATATGTGTACACATATAAATCATTATCAAAACAGGGTTACATTTGATTGAATTATAAAAGGTATAAATATTGTGGTAACTGAAGAGCCGTTTGGAGCCGAAAGAGCCGGCTCTTCTTGGTGAGCCGAGCCAAATGATCCGGCTCACCAAGAAGAGCCGGAATTCCCCTCACTACTTAGTAGGCGGAGTCGGCCACTAACGGCTCGACAGTGGCGTCAGAGTTCCACTCCCGCCTGCCTCCAAATAAGGGCAAGAGGCGGAGCCGAGGCGGGACCTCCTGCCTCCGGGCTGGAAGTAACAGAGCTAGCTGAAGCTACCAAGCTAAGCTAACTGCTCACCATCTGCAGAGTTGCCCGTCGCATTGTACGTTTCTAATGTAAGCGGACATGAGACTATTCAGCAAAACTTAAATAGTAATCTAAGTTGAGTTTTTAGCATAATACTTCAGAATCTTAAAATCCCCTTAACGTTTGTATGCCAATGTGCTAAATTAAACACTGGAATCAAGCAAAAATATTAATATGTTTGCATGACATTAGTTATTTATTATTTTGCCATCACTTAATTATACGTGTAATACATTTAAGTTAAGGCTAAGGTACATGTGATGATAGCTAGTTAGTGCTCTTACCTGTGAGGGCCCTCCTCCAAACAGCATTATAACCAGACTGTATCATTAAAACTACAAGTACCAGTTCTAGATCCTTGACTTTAGACAAACAATTCAAAAGACAAAATGTATTTTAAAGACCAATCTTTATTTGAAGGTGCCTCTCAACCTGAGATATTAGTTATACAGTAATAGTATGACAATCTAAAAAAACTGAGCAACTCAACAGTCAACTTTATATTTCTTATTGTCTAAAGCATTTATTATTTTCATTTTTCCCCTCTCATATTCAGTGTGGACGGATTGAGACAGCGTGGTGTCCAGAGAGCTGCAGAGACTTCAGGAGAAACCTCCGTGTGATGGACGTCCTGTCTGTTGGTTTTGGAGAAGACTCAGGGTCTTTCCTCAGCGAGGAGGACCAAGCCTGATGGAGAGAGCCCATGCATAGCTGATACCACCCGATCAGGCCTAGTCTGTCACTTTATTTGACTAAATGTGTTTACTTATAACATTTAATAGGTTTACACCTTCTGTCCATATGTGCTTTTTATTTAAAACATGTTTGATTAACTTTTTGGTTCACATTTCAATAAATTGAATTTGTATTTGCACTCCTTTTGTCCATTATTCTTACTGAAAATGTTAGATTACACATTCACATCCGACTGAAGATTGGCCCCATTTATTTGCGTTGCAAACTCTGTGGTACAAGGTACATGTTGTGAAGCTCATGAAGTGAGGCAAATAGAAATAATCAGCTGATAGAGTGTAGATGTGGGAAATAGGTGCATTCGATCAGCTGACTGTGTTTTCACAATAAAAATAGTTTCTTAGTGAATGTCCTGTACTGGTCTTAACATCTCATAACATCAGCTTTTCATTTTCCTCTTGGATGTTCTTCTTGACCCTCGGAGAAAGAGGAGATGCTGAGTCGTGTCTTTCAGGCATGTCCTTTCCTAACAAAAATTACAGGAAACATAAAGCATATTATTGCAGAACAAGTGTGTTATTTATGAAAGAGGTGTGTTTGTGTTTAGGGGCTGTAGATATAATTATTTTGTAATTGTAATGTTTTTTTTTTTTTATTTCAACAGTGAGCTACAAGACAATCAGATTATGAATGAACAGTATGAAATTCATCAACATTGAAATGTATTTTATTATCAAAATAATATTTAACTGTTATTAAAACAAGCTTGCTCTGTTGTCTCACTGAAAGAATAACTTTTACTACGTTTTTACAGACAATATTGAGAGATAAATAGCAGTTGTCACTATGCGTTAAATATCTTTGCCTTCAATACCTTAAATTAGAAAGCTGACAGTCATATTGCTTGTTAACATCTAAATGTAACCCTTTGCATGGAAAAAACCCTCAACTTCACTGATGTGTAGGTGATCTAGTATTTAGTATTGTTTAATGGAATGTATAGCAGTGTATTAAAGTCAATACTTCATTTATTTAAACCAATATCTTTCTTGATTCTTTGTACAGTATGAAAAAAGAGTATTGTACCTGTGCTGAAGTTCACTGCTGTGAGGAGTCCAGTTCTGTCTCTCACTCTCTGGTCCAGCCTGTCGAATCACCTGGACACTTTAAACAAACAGATATATATGTAAAGAACCATGTGTACAAACAATATAACTTATTATCTTCTGTTGAACATGTTGGATTGTGTATTGTCCGAGTCAGGATCCTTATTATTTTACTGTAACTTTGGAAGTTGTGTTACCAATGCTTACTGTTTATTTGATACCAATTTGGTAATGCAATTAATAAAAACAACAAGGTTTGGGTTCGTTCTTCAGGTGACTGTGACGTTAACGTGTAAGCTCAATAATGAACTCCAGCTCAACCAACCATATTGTAATATCTAAGTAATCATCTTGAAATATGACATTAATAATTGTAATATACACACATCTTATTGTGAGGTTGATTCACATACACTACTTCGACGTTAGCTTGTCTACATACTTGAGCATAGCCAATTTAAATTAACCTAAGCGATGCATAAAGTTCCTACCTACATAATAAAATATCTCTCTAAATTACAAGGATTACCTTATTTTATCAACCTCAAACAGAAGCCTTTTGTTCTATTATCCCACTTAACGCTTAACACTTGTCTATTTCGTTTTAACCTTTATATATACAGTCTATGGTTTTAAGTTAACGTAGCTGATTGAAATCATAAACACATAAATAAAGTACTCGAATTTCACTTACCGCAAAACGGCATTCATGCACCGTCTGTTTTAAACCGCAGAGCGAGTCACAATAGTCCCATATATAAGCACAGTGGCGACTGGTCATTAGGGGCAGGTGGGGCACAGCCCCACCTAGTGTCAGCAGAAAGTATTACAAATAATGATTACAAAAATGCAAAAAAATAAATAAAAAAATATATAAATATATTTTAAGATCATGTTTAATCATCTGATTCGTCTGTACATTGCTGTTTAGTCTGTGTTCTTCTAATTAGTGTGTCTACAGTCACAGTGTGTGCCTATTGAGCTGTTTAGAGCCATGTGGGACAAAACCTGATTATGCCCCTTCCTCTCGCTGTGAAGTCAACGGTGACTGTAAAACTTCACTGCGCATGCTCAGAGTATTTTGTAATGAAATGTGTGTGGCAAAAAAATAATGACCAGAGGGGCATGGAGCTACCATCCCCACCATACGTCATCTCAAATCATTCAGAGCTGATTGGCTGTAAGTACGTGTGCCGCGAAAAGTGTGCTGTGTGAAGAGGAGACGAGAGAGCTGCAGTGGCGCGTCCTAAAACCAGGAAGTAAGCACAAAAAAGCAATGAGATTTCTCCAGAGGATTTTAGAAAATAGCTCGAAATAAGATCTGTGGGAAACGTACCTGTTAGATAAATGCACGTTTTGATTAGCCGGATAACATCCCTCATGTCTACCCTACTTATATAATTTTTTTATCATAAATCTATGGATTAGATTTATGATAGACTTTTGAAACTACAAGAAGATAAGGAGGACTTTTACAAAAAAGTAATAGAAATGTTTGTCCAGAAGGATAGGCAAATGGACTTCATCTTCAAGTCAAGGTAAGACCGCCATTTTATTGAAAATGGGATCTTACTAAGAGAGAACAATTCAATATTTAAATGATAAAATTACATTTTTTGGGGTATCCTTTTGTTGAACTGTCTGTTTAAAATTAATCGAAGCATCAGACAAAAAAAGCTTTTGAAAATAATATTATATTTTGGTTTAGGTCAAAATATAATATTTGTAAACCTGAAGAGTCAGTGCCAGTGCCTCACCAGCCATGAACCTCACTGCACGTCACTGCAGAAGCTTATATATAGACATCTAAGTTTTTTGTGCCCCACCACTTTTGTACATATAAAAACGCCACTGTATAAGCATGAAGAACAAACAAACACGGCCGGGGTCAAGTTGTGTTCCCTGGATGAACTGGGCAGGCAGAGTCGCTGTAGCTTCACGGAGACGGAGCAGCTAGCAGAGAGACAAAAAGCTAACAGCAGCAGTCACCTGACAGAGCTGTCACTCAATGTGACCACGCCCTAATTTATGCAAAAACTTTAAGACCTAATATAAATAAAAGGGTCATGTTAGAAAACAATTCACTCACAGATCCATAATCATGAAGGTGGAATCTAACTATATACATAATAAAATGTATTGCAGCCAGGGCTAGAAACGTTTTTTTTCTGCTGTGAAATTGGGCATTTTAACATGGGGGTCTATGGAAATTGCTCCTTTCTGCAGTCATCGCCTATCGGCCAATATATGAACTGCAGTTTGTGGCACTTCCGTATTGGCGTCCCGGCTCTTCCCCAGAGTTTGCCGCTTGATTTTAACCCAATCAAATAGGACATTGTCACACCATTCAAATGTATCCATATACATTACAACCAATAAAAAAGCTTAGATTTGTTTATCCGTTACGTTGTTTACTTTATTTGTTACGTTGTTCTGTGTGTGTCAGCCGTTAACCAGATAGAAATAATAGATGCAAACATGTCAGAAGAATCAGCGCAGAAGAAAACAAAATACAGTCAATCTAAACTTCACTTTAACAACTGGAAGGTCACATCCCGGACATCCACATCTCCAGAGCCTGGACCTGGTCCTTAATCAATCATAGAAGAACCAGCGAAGCCAGATGAACCCCAAAGCAGCAGCTTTGCAGCAGCTTTGCAGCTTCATGCTCACCGGGAAATATGCATCACACGAGACAATTAATGAACTAATAAATCAAATGTATCGGGAGTCTCTCACCACTCTATTAACTGAAATTAAAAGCAATGCAAAACACTATGCAGTTATTGTGGATGAAACTCGCGATTGCTCCGGGCATGAACAGTTGTCTCTGACTATACGATGGGTATCAGCTGATTATGTTGTCCATGAAGACTTCATAGGAATGTATGACTGTCCTAAGACTGACGCAGAATCAATAACCCTTACTATTAAGGACATGTTAATGAGATGCGGCCTGGACATTGGTGACATGAGAGGGCAAACCTACGATGGCGCATCCGTTCTACAGGGACAAATGTCAGGTGTGGCCAAACGTTTTAAAGACATCAATCCCAAAGCAGTCTCAATGCATTGCACAAATCACAGTTTGAACCTAATTCTTCAGGAAGCTGCTTCAAAGTGCAATATTGTACGTGGTGCCTTCAGTTTAGTTCACGACATACATGAGATAATAAACAACTCACCAAAACGACTTGCCATCTTTAAAAACATTAGGGATGCTGCTGCTGTTCCAGCAAACATCCACTGATAAACTGCGATGTTAACAACCTCATGATAACCTCATATTTTTTAACTTAGGATCATACCTGTGTTTAGTCTAGAAAAAGGTAAATGTGTGCATTTTATTATAAAGTTGTGTATATTTACAGACTGTTGCAAAAACTAAGAAGCTTATAAACATCAGGTTTAAAACTAAAAGAGCTTTACAAAAAAGTAACAAAATTAAAGATGTTTGGAGTTTTATTTTAGTTATTAATTTAAAAAAAATTCAAAGAGATGCTGATTTGAAACCGTTGTTACATACAGTTACGGCATTTCCTGTTTCTGCCGGAGAGGGGGGAGTTTGTCCCAAAGCTTGCGGCTGTATTTACTCCATCCATCTGACAGGAGGGAGCCTCATGTGTCACTCCACGGAGTTCACTCCGTCACGGAGGGGGAGTGTATAGGGGTAGGGTGTAGGGCGTGGTTTGGGATTGGGCCATACTCGCGCACTTTTTTGGCCCCCCCCCACTTCTAAAATGAATCCGGCGCGCCTGCACCATAGTCTAACACAGACATTAAACATTGCACCGTCTCTTATTGGCCTCAAAAACAATAACTTTTTCTTAACCTTATCCTAGGGCTGTGCAATTAATCGTATTTTAATCGCAATTACGATTTTGGCCTGCCACAATTACGAAAACAATTATTTAGCTTTGCTAGGTTGTGACAGTGCACTGCAACATATTTGATCTAATTTATTTTGGTCTAATTTATTTGTATTTATCATATTTATATATGTTTAGTAGCTTGTGAAAGTGCGCTCCAAAATATTTGTTGATCTTGTTTATTGGTATTTATTATTTTGATATTATTTATTTAAATGTATCGTTTATTTTTGTATTGGTTTTTCAGTTGAATTATACGTTCAGGGTAATCAACAGTTACAAAGATACTGTTCAAATTATTATTTGTATTTGTTTTAAAGTTCAATAAATAGATTTTTTCAAAGTCAATGAATAATCGTATTTATTAATCGTGATATCAATTATTGACCCAAATAATTGTGATTATGATTTTTGCCATAATCGCACAGCCCTACCTTATCCTATCCCTAAGTAATTGTTCCCATGTTTTCCCTCTCAATCCCCCCCCCCCTTCAGGCTCAGAGAAGAGTCAGGGTATGCACGCTCTGGCCCTCAGTCCTAACAGGCGGTACCTGGCGGTGTCAGAGTGCGGAGAGAGAGCCTCCATCACCGTGTTCGACCTGCAGCACGAGCAGGGCCGGAAGAGGAAGGTCCTGACGGCAGGAGAGTCGTCCTCTGAAGAGTTCGTCTGCATGGCTTTCTCTCATGATTCAAAGTATCTGATCGGACAGACGGGAGGTCCTGATTGGACGCTGATCTTCTGGCTTTGGGAAAAACAGAAGGTCCTGGCAACAGTGAAGACCAGTACGTCCCGTAATCCTGTTTCCCAGGTGAGTCCTCCGTCCTGTAACGATACAGCCATGAGATGAGCACGGCTACTTCCTGAATAAATCAATGATTGGACAAAACATATTTATTAAAACATTTTTTTTTTTGTGTAAAAATCATTCTATTGCTTTTGCTAACAAATATAGTCTTCTCTACTGGCGGCATGAAACGTTTTTTGTGTTAAAAAAAAGTAAGATTCAACAGTGTATAAATACTCTGTGACAAGTAAAAGTACTACATACAAAATGTTTTATCATAAATAATAGAGTACCAAATGAAGAGTACTCATTTAGCAAATTGGCCATTTTCACAGTAATATATATTATCTCACTGGATTATAATTAATGATCCATTAATTATCGTTATCATTTTGCTGCTGGTGAAGCTGGGGCTAACTTTAATATATTTGTACACTGCTTAATGCTTTCTTAATACATCATAATTCATTGGTTGATTTATATTTTGTATTCATGATATGAATCTGCAAAGTAACTAATTTGTTCAAATAAATGTAGTGAGTAAAAAAGTGCAATACTTTCTTCCAAATTGTAGTGGAGAAGTAAAAAGTAGCATAAAATGGAAATAAGTAAAGTACCGTTTTTTTGTACTTTCCACCTATGATCAGATTGTCCTTAGCAACGGTCTGTAGAGAGAGTAATATCAAACCTTAAAATGATTCAAATGTACCAATCAGAATCGAGTATTCAACCTTACCCTGTAATAAATAAATAAATTGATGTCCCTTCAGGTCAGCTTCAACCCTCACAACAACACGCAGCTGTGTGTGAGTGGAGGCGGTGTGTTGAAGCTGTTTCGTTACTCAGAAGGAGCCCTGAAGCAGAGCAGCTCCCCCAAAGTGGAGTCCATCTTCTTCCTGTGTCACAGCTGGGTGACGGAGGAGAGAGTGATCGCCGGGACAGACTCAGGACGCCTGCTGGTGTTCGAGTCTGGAGATTTGAGGAGAGAGATCAATACATCGGGGCAGGAAACAGACAGGTGAGCTGGTGGAGTGTTTACTGTGATAACACTGGTTATTCACTCATTGGTTAGTTTCGCTTCTGACTGTTGCTCCATTTTACAATGAAATACAAATGAAAACGGGTTAATAGAAAGAAAACAGGACAAAAATATTACAAGTTGAAGTCCAATAATAGATCAAACTAAAAATATAATATAGACTCAAGATATAGCTGCAATCTATGAAAGAAAGCCCATCATGTCAAGCTGGAAAATGGTAGTCCTTATGTCACTGTTCTTATATTCAAACCACTCCACTATGGTTTTGGTTTCCTTCACTTTGTTTTTCTCCCTTTCAGTAATTCCCTGCTCAGACAAGTGGCCATGAAGAAGATGAAAGACTCTGATGTGGATGAAGGTGTCTCTGTTCCTCGCATCACAGCCATTTTGTCTTACTCTAAAGGCTTTATATGCTCCTATGGTGCCGGCACTGTTTGTCTCTTTGAAAAGACACAGGAGGACGGTTATAGAAGGACCAGAGACATACGGGTACGTGTCAAAGCAGGTTAACAGTGTTACTGTGTGTGTTTCCAAGTGATTATATGTGTGTTGTTGTCCTTCAGATCCCAGCAGACAGCAGTGATCTGACCCCGGCTGAGAGTCAGCTGATTGACACGATGTGTTTGAGTCCATCAGAGGAGACTCTGGTCCTCAGCACCGACAGAGGACAGCTGTACAGCTTCAGCCTGTCCTCTCTGGACATCAACAAGGTGACGTTGTTTGTGAAAAAAACTAAAACCGTCCTTATTGCTATGATCTAAAACACTTCAATCTTTTCTACCCGTGTCAAACATTTGTTGTCGTTTTATTAATGAAGGGCTATTTTACTACTAGGATAATTTTGCTATGATGTCCTCCTCCAAAACCTCCACCCACCACTATGAGATTAGATTAATACTACTTGCTTGTTTATTTCTAGTATTTTAATTTGTATTGTACAATGCCATGTCTTTTTATGCTGCTGCAACACAAACATTTCCCAAATTGGGGTCAATAAAGTACCATCATATCTTATCTTATCTTATCTTATTAGATTCCTGTTTATCGTCACTACACAGAATACAGCGAAATTCAAAGCATTCCCGATGGTGCAATCACACATAACAGACAGTATAAGTATCATTTTGACAATACAAGCTAAAACTTTTAATATATAATATATAAAGTGACTATAAATTGGACCTATGATACATTGAACAGTACGCTTCAAAACAACATTACCATACAAACACAAGAACAATACGGTCAAGGCAGTACAACATGTAAACAAGTCAGTAAGTTATTGCACATGTATTTATCAGTGCAGTTGATAATTACAAAACTAGAAATTAATATGTGTTCTATAAAAACGGTATGAGGTAGAATATAAGGTGCAGTTGGATGTAAACTCGTCACCAATTAACTATTTTAATTAAATTGCCATTTGTAATACTTTTTGACTTTTCTTTTACAATGTTATTCTTAACAGCAAATTGACCTAAACACCTAGCGATTTCAGCATGAAACAGATTTAAAGTCTTTCTTACATCCCATCCATTGCTTCGTTGCCACATTCAGCCCATTGTCCTCCTTTACTGTCCTTCTTTCCATCATGTTCTCCTCATAAAAAACACTTCCCCTTGACTTGAAATCATGTTATAATAACCCTATCCATCAGGAGGAACCTCATTTTGAGTTCCTGTCGCAGTCCTTCCACTCAAAGTCCATCACTGGTTTATCCGTCTGCATCAGAAAGCCTCTGGCAGCCACGAGCTCTCTGGACCACTCTGTGCGCATCTGGAACTACGAAACAAAGTAAGAGACCCTCACAAACCAACCAAACCAAGTCTCTTTTATCCAGTCTTATGTTCACGAGCTTTTTGCTGTTTCATTAACACCCCAAAATGCAGCAAACATAGAGATAAGATACGATACGATAACACTTTAATGGTCAGATCAAGTCTGAAATGTGACTTGCATCACTGCAGCTCCATGTGTAACATCAACAGACAAATATCAAGACACAAACAACAAACATTTAACATAACAGCACAATCACTGAGAGAAAAGCTGCTCATTTGATCTGGATTCAGCTCTGTGTTTACTGAGAGGATTGACTGGAGCACAAAGGATGCTTCAGTCTGATTTTATTGATCTCCATTAGATGGTAGCAGTTCCTATTCTCTGTTCAGAGCATGCTTTGGGTCCCAGATGATCTTGTTGGACAGCCTCACAGGTTATTATGGTCTGCTGAGTCATAAAGTCTTTGACAGGGTGGACCAACAATCTTTGAGCAGATTTTTAACAGGTGGAGCCGTTTTGATTTTTAAGCAGTTGACAAACTGGTATAATACTCTGCTGTGTCTCTCCTTGATTTGTCCCCAGAGTGCTGGAGCTCTACAAAGAGTTCCCAGAGGAGGCGCTCAGCGTGGCTCTGCATCCGACCGGCCTCTTCATCCTGGTGGGATTTTCAGACAAACTCCGGCTGATGAACCTGCTCATCGATGACATCCGAACCTTCAAAGAGTTCGCTGTGCGCGGCTGCAGAGAGGTGGGTTACGTCTGCAGGCCTGCAACCTTTCTGCAACCTTTCGCTGCTGTGCTCTCAGTCTCCCTAGATTCAAGTTTCAAGGCTTTTATTGTCATGTGTACGTAGCTACAGTGTAGATATATCAATGAAAATCTTAGGCTCCTCCAACAGTGCAACACAATAAAACAGATCAAATAGTAAATACAAATAAAATAGAATATAAATAGTGCAAGGAGAGTCTATATACAAGTAATTGGAATATGATATATTAGATAAATAATTTGTAAGTTGCAAACAGATTCCTGCCTGTTGGAGTCAGCTGATAGAGGTGTTATTATAGTGCTTTTTCTTGTTATGCACAGTGTTGATTATTCTCTCAGAACTAGCTAAATACATTTATCTGGGGTAGAGATCTTCAGAATTAGTTTGGCAGCCGCTGTGTTTTTGAGGCCAATAAGAGACGGTGCAATGTTATTGTTTGTGCTACACTACGGTGATGTTGTTTATATGAATGCATCTTCTAAATGACGAGGCTCTTTGGATAACTGACGATAAACCATCAGTGTTTTCCATCAAGGTTCCTGCTCTCCTCCAAGCCCCCAGGAAGTGCGCCGGACTCTGAGGAAAATATTTGTTGTGGCCAAACGGCGGTACTACACTTCCGTATCAGTCGCTGGGCCCGGAAACACTTTTTCCCATTGACTAATATTGGGAAAGAGACGTCTGTAAATCGTTGCATAATTTGTTTGAAACTAAATAAACTACCCAGTATGAACGTTTGTATAGCCCTTATTAAAAACATTCGGTCATCAAGTTGTAAAATGCGCTAATAACGTTATTCTGAGAGTTATTTTCCTCGGCATTATGAACGCGGATCTAACCCACGGGACCGCGCCGCCCGGCACGTTCATGTGACGTGTTCAGTACTACATGAGTTTTACCTTTACCCATGGATGCACAATAAGAACGGATTATATGAATACTTTCGTGACGTTTCGCTCTCTCAAAAGTTGGGCCATTTTGTCTTCATGCGCCAACGAGTAACTCTCATAGGAATGAACGCGGCCCCGCCTCCCACGCTGTATCCAGTTCTTATTATACATCTATGCTCTCCTCGTGTCTCTCTGAGTCTCCATTGCTTCAGAGGTTTCCATCACAGTAACGTGTGATGACACTTTGCACACGTCTGCACAGCCCTCCACTTTAAAATATAATTCACAGTATTTAACCATATATAGTCATTGCCCTAAGTGGTTTTGTTTTTAAGCTTCCTAGGTTATTTGGATAGTTACATTTACATTTGGTGTAAATACTTGTCTTGAGCATCCTTTTTTAAGGCTAAATTGTTTCTTAAAAATACTACCTTCCTACCTACTTTGCAACTTATTTTGTATTTTCATTGTTTATGTTCGCACCACCAGATACCAAAGCAAATTCCTTGTATGTGTAAACGTACCTGGCAATAAACTTGATTCTGATTGTCACACAGTAAAACCATTTGATGCTCTTTTGGCCTCCTTGTTCACTTTCTCTCTCTCCACGTCTTAGTGTGCCTTCAGTCACGGTGGACACATGTTTGCAGCTGTCAATGGGAACGTCATCCACATCTACTCCGTCACCTCTTTCGAGAACATCCTCAATCTGAAGGGCCACAATGGGAAGGTGAGTCAGGCAGAATTACTTTCTTCAAGTAAGTGTCAACAAATTAAAGTTCTATGTCTTTTTCTTCATTCAACTCAGTGTAATGGCAATTTAGGTTTTCCAATTACCTTTATTATGGTTGCCATTATTTCACAGGTGAGGGTAGAGAGGGATCTTTACTCAGACAAAAAACTGCACATTTTCCGGTTGTTGGATGCAGTTTGGTTTGATATTTAATATAAGAGTTTGTACAATACCAAGGTTGAATCTGCCAGTGAGTTGATGAAGCTGTTAGCATCTGTAGAATCTGGTCCGAATGGTTTGCTCTCGCTCTTCCTGTGCCCTTTCCCATGACCAATGTCATGAAAAACAAAACCCTCTCTCTTTTCCTCCGTACCCACATCTCTAAAAACGGGGGAACAACGGAGCTGATTCAGATTTGCGTCCGATATGACGTAATATCGGAAATGTGGGCTGGCTTTACACCCACGGGCCTATCAGAAACAATGAGTGACGTGTTTTGGACGTAATATGGTCTTTGTTTACATTAGCAAGCATCGCTAAACACTCAGAGCTAACCTGTACTGGAGAGAATATGTGTGAAGAAGCAGGAAATAAAGAAAATAACTCACCTTGTGGTAAACCTGAGAGAGTTTATCACAAGTTTGAGCTCCATACTGTTTCAGAAATAATCCTTGATGTGGTTTGGAACATGATGGCGTTTAATCACGGCAGCATTTAGCTGAGTATCTCGGTAGAATTCTCATACCCAGAATCAGCGTTTCTCTAACAGGGCTGAAACAGAGGGATATGAGGGATGTCTAGAATGCATGATCTGTTTGTATTTTGAGCAAAACACTTCATAGACATGTTTTTTATATTTTTTTTATATATCTGAGACCCATAATATATGCCTAAAAATAGCAGGATAGGAGATCTTTAAGGAGATATGAGAAGGAGAATTCATCAGGGGCCTACACTACGAAGCTGGATTTTCGCTTAGCCGGCTGACTTCAGGGAAAACTCGGGCTTTCCGGTCCTACGACGCTGGTTCTCTTTTTAGCGGGCTAGCTCTCCATGGTAACTTATGCTGAGCGGCTAACCTCCTCGGGAGGAGGTTAGGTTGCAGGCTAAGAGATTAACTCAGTGAAAGCACCGCCTGCTGACCAATCAGAGCTCCGTGTGCGGAGTTTAAAGCGATCAATTCATATTACAGGATAGAGGAAATACAGAAAAACTGCCGTTGCAGGAAAGACGGCCGGCAAAAATCAACTGACTGTGTGAACGTGAACATTAATAGAATATCCCCTCCCATCTTCAGAGCAATCTGACTATTATAATATTAGCGTTAAGAAAGCTTACTTAAATATCTGCCACAACATAAGTAACCGGATCAGAGTAACATTAAGTACAGTCCGCGGCACTGTGAGTGCAGACGTCGATGTGTCCCATTATCATTCATATCATATCACATCATAATGTATCATATATTTCCTTATCTGAGTCAGCTGAGCCGTATCTGGCCGTGCAACACTCACAGTGTCACATACTGTATGCAGAAGTATTATTTTAAGCAACACATTAAGTTGACGAAACACTGGAGTCAAATGTAATTAAAGTCAGATCGTGTCTTGGACGGGGCAGTGATATCATAAACCTGTTAATGTACGCATTCAAACACTTTTTCTGTTACCAGCTGTATTCACCTTGCAGGTGCAGCTATGTGGCTTTGATCCTGGATAAAGTGTTTAAGTCATGGATGTTTAAAGTTTAACTTCTTCATATTTGACTAATATTAAAGTTCACTTTTCATTCAGGAAGTATGACGCTGCGCTGTCAGTACGCTTGTCCGTGTTTGAGATTGGTCGAATGCTCCAAATACCACCCCTTTCATGTGAACGTGCACCTAACTAGATAGGACACGGCTGGCTTGAGCGATCCACTTGATAACCAGCGTCGTAGTACAGTTTAGCGAGAGCGCGTATGTTTTGGATTGGGCCAACCGGCTAACTCAAACATATCCAGGTTAGGAAAATCCGGCTTCGTAGTACAGGCCTCTGGTCTTAGGAAAAGAGGCAGCGGTGCTTAGAGAATCAGATGTTATTATGATGTGTGTCTGCTGTGGGAAAACTACATTTCTTTTCTCCAGGTGCGAGGCATCGAGTGGAGTCTGGACGACGGCCGGCTGGTTTCGTGCGGGATGGACGGAGCCGTGTACGAGTGGAACGCTCAGACGGGAACACGAGAGTCAGAGAGCGTCCTGAAGTCCTGCAGCTACACTGATGTCTCCTTCTCTTCAGACGGAAAGACCATCCTGGCTGTGGGAACGGACCTCACACTGAAGGAGATCCAAGACTGTCAGGTCAGTAAGAACACTGCAAAGCCTCTGAGTTTCATCACTTAGAAGGACTGGAAGAGAAAAGAGCTCCCTTTCCTGTAGTGTGTTTATATAGGTTTCTGTGCATGTAAATGGTCTGCAAAGGCTAAAATTCCAAAGTTAGGCTAAGGGGCGGGACATCTCTAAGCGGTTGACCAATCACAACAGAGCCGGCCAGCTAACCAATCAGAGCAGACTGGGTTCTGGTTTCAGACAGAGGGTGAAAAGAGGTGCTGCAGTATGAGAAAAATAAAGAGCTTTTTGAACATTAGAGCATGGAGACATGTCACAAAATTCTAATATGAACCTGGAAATGATCATAATATATCCTCCTTATTATAATGTTGTTGAGCAGGGAGGTTTTAAGAAGGATATGACACATTTTTACCGGCATTTTCTTTTAAAAGTGGGCAGTTTTAAGAGTTTTTCCTACATGTGTCCACTTAAGCAAAATTGTCTCATCAGATGTAAATAATCAACAAAATGATCCAATAGCTAAAATGTATCCATTGCCTTTTAATGACTATTATAGGAAGTAATATAATATATAACTGTGACAGGGTTCTATTTGTCCGTTTGAAACATAGGCTTAGTCGGTTGATTTAAGCTCCAAAACTTTATTTATAACAGCAGCAAACAAAATATATACTGTTTGATAAAAGTGAAACAGTATAACTTAAATAAACAAAATCAAAGTTACCAAATTAGGTTGTCTATCACTCATGGAGTAAACACATTCTAGCTGTTGCCTTCACTGCAACAATCTCCTGAATGAACTTCCAGGGCCAACACCGTCCCTTTTGAACCCATAGCCCCTCCCCACAGGCTTACCGTCAACAGGTTACACAATTAACTCAAAACCACATTGTCAACATAAATGTAACCCCTCAAAACGATCCGACCCAAACATAAACAGGTTAACTATCTCATAACACAATCATTCCCCATAATTAATAAACGCAAAATAAATAATAAATTGCATGGTTCATGACATCCTATTTAAATAACGGAAGTGATGCGCCTCCGTCTTTTCCACATTCCCTTTGCTGGGGAGACGGCGGCGAAACTCCGTTCGCTGCTTGTCACGCAAGTATTGTGTAATATAGTTAAATGTATGTTTAAATAATTGTAGACTCACAAGCGTGCACTCATGGTCGCACTACAGAAAGGGAGGGGGAAAAGGGACGTTTTAGTGATGATTTATTTATTGACGAACGGAAGAGAGCAGGGTGTGTGTGATGTGTGTGATGTGTGTGTGGGTCAGTCACTCTGTGATCCGCTCCGTCACAATAACTAACACAGTTAAAAGCAATTGCATTCTCCTTGCACATTTCTCATTGCTAAATATCCTCTATTTGTCCCTCAAGAAAAGTGATATTGTTATTATTTCAATCAGGAAAGACTTCATTTTTTGTTTAAAGAACATTTATTGACACATGCGCCATATGATAAATGTTAAAAGTCTTTGGCTAGACGGGGAAATGCAGCCGTTAAAGAGTAGGCCAATGATGAGCTGATTATACGCAGCTGTAGAGTGAATGAATATATACCCAGTCTTCCTGAAAGAACTCGCGCTGAGCTTCATTTTGTGTTTTCTGTGGTTGTTCAGGTGCTGAGGGAGGTTCCTGCTGATGAGGTCGCTCACACGGCTGTCGCTGTGTCTCACTCCGGCAGAGTCGTGTTCACCGGGACGCCCAGAGGAACCATCAGAGCCGTGAAATACCCGCTTCCTCTGCAGAAAGACTGGATCACATACCAAGCTCACTGTGGCCCCATCACCAAGGTCAGACTGAGGCTAAATCCATCATCTTTGATTCAAGTTTCAAGGCTTTTATGGTCATGTGTGCATAGCTATAGTGTAGATATGTCAATTAAAATCTTAGCTCACAGGCTCCTCCAACAGAGCAACACAATACAACAGATATAATAGTGCAAGTAAATAAAATAAAATAGAATATAACAGAAATAGTGCAGAATAGTCTATATACAAGTAAATGGAATATTAATATATATATAAGTTGCAGCCAGGTGAATGTTATAGATGTACTTTCAGAAGTTCAGGTGTTTAACAGTCTTATGGCCTGTGGGATGAAACTGTCCCTGAGTCTGGTGGACCTGAATGTGTTTTGATGCTTTTTTGGGAGTTAACCATATAAAGAAAAGTCTGATTTACTGACTCTGTGTGTGTTCAGATGGTTTTGACGTGGGACGATCAGTTCCTGCTGACAGCGGCTGAGGACGGATGTCTGCTGATGTGGAAGGTCGTGGATAAAGAGGGTCGAGGACTGAAGAGCAACCGACAGATCATCCAGACTGAAGAGATCCTCGTCACCAAGGCAGACCTGGAGGAGAAGGGTGTGGTGTGTGTGTGTGTGTGTGTGTGTGTTGTGTGTGTGTGTGTGTGTGTGTGTGTGTGATGTGTGTGTGTGTGTGTGTGTGTGTGTGTGTGTGTGTGTGTGTGTGTGTGTGTGTGTGTGTGTGTGGTGTGTGTGTGTGTGTGTGTGTGTGTGTGTGTGTGTGTGGTGGGTGTGTGTGTGTTGTGTGTGTGTGTGTGTGTGTGTGTGTGTGTGTGTGTGTGGTGTGTGTGGTGTGTGTGTGTGTGTGTGTGTGTGTGTGTGTGTGTGTGTGTGGTGTGTGTGTTGTGTGTGTGTGTGTGTGTGTGTGTGTGTGGTGTGTGTGTGTGTCGTGTGTGTCTTGTGTGTGTGTGTGTGTGTGTGGTGTGTGTGTGTTGTGTGTGTGTGTGGTGTGTGTGTGTGTGTGTGTGTGTGTGTGTGTGTGTGTGTGTGTGTGTGTGTGTGTGTGTGTGACGTTTCAGTGACGTTTCAGTTATTGATAGCAGGATAAACGTACTGAGATGAAAAGTGGACATCATAATTTATTTTAATGGTGGTTTATTTTGTAGCACATGCACCAGTCTTAACCATCCACTTCAATAGGGACAGTCGCAGCATGCAGGGCTGACAATTATAATAAAGTTGAATCTAAACTAATCTAAGCTATCTAACAAGCTAGCTAGCAAACGTTAGCTATCTACTTTAGATGCTAGCTAAAGTTTGCTACCTTTCTAACTAGGAAGCTAGCTTAAGTTAGCTACCTATCTCACAAACTAACTAGCTAACATGAGATAAATAAGGTCTTTGTCAAGCGAGCGCCGGTGTGAACTAAAGGCAGATAGAAAATACACTTCAAGCTACAATTAGGAGATCACATTATACAAAATAGCACTCTGTCTACGTTCACACCTTTTTAAAGTCACAAATGGTATCTGTTGCAGACGCAGAACATGCTGGAGCTGAAGCTGCGTCTGGAGGAGCTGCAGATGGAGAACGAGTACCAGCTGCGTCTGAAGGACATGAACTACAGCGAGAAGATGAAGGAGATCTCTGACGCTTTCACACAGCAGATAGACTCTCTGAAGATCATGCAACAGGTTAGACTCTCTGAAGACTGTGCAACAGGTTAGACTCTCTGAAGATCATGCAACAGGTTAGACTCTCTGAAGATCATGCAACAGGTTAGACTCTCTGAAGACCGTGCAACAGGTTAGACTCTCTGAAGACCGTGCAACAGGTTAGACTCTCTGAAGACCGTGCAACAGGTTATTCTCTCTGAAGACCGTGCAACAGGTTAGACTCTCTGAAGACCGTGCAACAGGTCAGACTCTCTGAAGACCGTGCAACAGGTCAAACGATCACAGCTTCACTCCATATACTCTCAGTAATGTCGCAGCGTAAAGTCAAATGTCTTCCAGAAACTAACAATGTGTTTAAGACACATGGAAAAGGGCCACATTAATAGGCATAAACAACCCAGTCTCACGGCATTTCGTGTTATAGTCACGAAATGAATCTATTGATTCGTGTTCACGATTTTGCCATTTTTTTTCGTGTCACACAGAACGATTTTAAAAGCAATGTATTTCTATTGGTAGTATGTTTCGTGCCTGCACCAAATAATAACAAATTAGAAGGAAACAAATATTTGAAAAATACAGATTTCAGTATTCTGAGGCTCTGAGCCCCCTATTCTTTTCCTCGCGGACGGAAAAACAAGTCCGACATTATACGATTTAAAATAAAAACAATAATCGTGGCTTGATATTGAGTAAGAACATGTTTTTATGAACCACACAGCTTCCGATCTTCCAAGACCCGACCGGACAAAAAGACGTGTTGCAGGCACGAAACATACTACCAATAGAAACACATTGCTTTTATCGTGATGGTGAACACGAATCAATAGATTACATTTATTTCGTGACTATTACACGAAATGCCGTGAGACTGGGTTGGCATAAACGTAATGTAGTTATCTTATTAACAGCTGCAGCTCTTAAAATGGACCAGTTCATAACATCATGTTTTCTATTTCTTTTATTATGTTTTTTTATTGAAGAACAGGCAGAATCACACAGGGGCACAATTAAGACACTGATCTTCATCCATTTTCAATTGTTTGAACAAACCATCACCACCCCCCACCCAGTTTAATACAAAATAAAACACATTGGTTCCACGTTCAGATATATAAAATAAAAACAGTTACAAAAAATAATATTAATAACAATAAGTAAATAAAAACAGATCAGTTAATATAAATAAGGTGATGAATAACATCATGTTTTCTGCCTATTGACCATGATTATCAACATTACATCATTGTCTAAACAATGTATTAATGAAAGGCTTTTATTGTTTCTGAATGACATGTTCTGTGCCTTCAGGCCATGAAAACAGAGATGGAGAAGCAGCAGCGTGAGAACCAGATGAGCACTGCAGAGATCTCTGAGAAGCACTCTGAAGAGCTGGAGGCTTTAGGTAAGACGAGGACAGCAACTTCCTTGAAATGTTTAAAAGTAAATTAAAAACATATCTTTGGGTTAACTTTCAATTCTCACTGGTATCACTGGTGCTATACCAAAAAGTGTATTATTATTATTATTATCACAACAATCAATAAATATGTGTTTCTTCATCACACACACACACACACACACACACACACACACACACACACACACACACACACACACACACACACACACACACACACACACACACACACACACACACACACACACACACACACACACACACACACACACACACACACAGAGGAGTCCTACAGCCAGAAGCTGATCACGGAGCATGAGAGGTTCCAGGATCTTCAGCGTGAAAGCGAAAGGATGCAGGAGGACTTTGAGAAGGAGCTGAAGGACGTGGAGGAGGGAAGAGTGCACACTGTGGAGGAGCTGAAGCAGAACTACGAGGCCAAGCTGGAGGAGAAGGATCTGGTCCTGCTGCAGGTCAGTGAGATGACTTAAAGGTCCCCTATTATACTGTTTTTCATCAATATATTATAGGTCTCAGATATATACAGAGCCTGTCTCTGATTGGCTGAAACACCAAACAGATCATTGCAGCATCCCATAATCCCCTCTGTTTCAGCCCTGTTTCCAAAGTGCTGATTCTCTGTCTGTTACTGTAGATGAAAATAGGAGCCCCTCCCCACGCCCCTCTGAGAGAGATTTGGTTACAAAGAACTCAATGGTGCTCTAGGAGGAGATTCAGGTGATAAGGGGGGGGGGGGGGGGGGGGTTACCTTGTTGGTGATTGGCTAATGGTTACACAAGACAAAACATCGTTATGACATCATAAAGTGGCCAAAATCTGATCAGCTCATTTTCAGACAGGTTTTTATATAAATGGATCAGGACAAAAAGAGAGAGAATCTTTGTTCTTGAAACTTTCAGAGTCTCTTTACACAGAGGGGACACATGTTGATGTAGAGGAGACATGAAGAAGAGGGGGACACATGTTGATGTAGAAGATGACTATGTAGAAGAGACATGAAGAAGAGGGGACACATGTTTATGTAGAAGAGACATGAAGAAGAGGGACACATGTTGATTGTAGAAGAGACATGAAGAAGGGGACACATGTTGATTAGAAGAGACATGAAGAGAGGGGAAACATGTTGATGAAGAAGAGACATGAAGAAGAGGGGACACATGTTGATGAAGAAGAGACATGAAGAGAGGGAAGACACATGTTGATGAAGAAGAGACATGAAGAAGAGAGGACACATGTTGATGTAGAAGAGACATGAAGAAGAGGGACACATGTTGATGTAGAAGTAGACATGAAGAAGAGGGGACACATGTTGATGTAGAAGGAGACATGAGATAGAGGGGACACATGTTTGATGTAGAAGAGACATGAAGAAGAGGGACACATGTTGATGTAGAAGAGACATGAAGAAGAGGGGACACATGTTGATGTAGAGAGACAATGAAGAAGAGGGGGGACACATGTTGATGTAGAAGATAGAGGACATGAAGAAGAGGGGACACATGTTGATGTGGAAGAGACATGAAGAAGAGGGGACACATGTTGATGTAGAAGAGACATGAAGAAGAGGGGACACATGTTGATGTAGAAGAGACATGAAGAAGAGGGGACACATGTTGATGTAGAAGAGACATGAAGAAGAGGGGACACATGTTGATGTAGAAGAGACATGAAGAAGAGAGGACACATGTTGATGTAGAAGAGACATGAAGAAGAGGGGACACATGTTGATGTAGAAGAGACATGAAGAAGAGGGGGACACATGTTGATGTAGAAGAGACATGAAGAAGAGGGGACACATGTTGATGTAGAAGAGACATGAAGAAGAGAGGACACATGTTGATGTAGAAGAGACATGAAGAAGAGGGGACACATGTTGATGTAAGAGAGAGGACATGAAGAAGAGGGGACACATGTTGATGTAGAAGAGACATGAAGAAGAGGGGACACATGTTGATTGTAGAAGAGACATGAAGAAGAGGGGACACATGTTTGATGAAGAAGAGACATGAGAAGAGGGGACACATGTTGAATGTAGAAGAGACGTGAAGAAGAGAGGACACATGTTGATGTAGAAGAGACATGAAGAAGAGGGGACACATGTTGATGTAGAAGAACATGAAGAAGAGGGGACACATGTTGATGTAGAAGAGACATGAAGAAGAGGGGACACATGTTGATGTAGAAGAGACATGAAGAAGAGGGGACACATGTTGATGTAGAAGAGACATGAAGAAGAAGGACACATGTTGATGTAGAAGAGACTGAAGAAGAGGGGACACATGTTGATGTAGAAGAGACATGAAAAGAGGGGACACATGTTGATGTAGAAGAGACATGAAGAGAGGACACATGTTGATGTAGAAAGACATGAAGAAGAGGGGACACATGTTGATGAAGAAGAGACATGAAGAAGAGGGGACACATGTTGATGAAGAAGAGACATGAAGAAGAGGGGACACATGTTGATGTAGAGAGACATGAGAAGAGGGGACACATGAAGAAGAGGAGGGGGACACATGTTGATGTAGAAGAGACATGAAGAAGAGGGGACACATGTTGATGTAGAAGAGACATGAAGAAGAGGGGACACATGTTGATGTAGAAGAGACATGAAGAAGAGGGTTTTGCATAATAGGTGACCTTTAAAGGAAGTAGAAGGGACACCAAGATGTTGTTTTGTCCACTGTGTTTGTGTGAAGTGTCAGGAAGACGCACAGCAGCAGATCAGAGAGTTCAAAGAGATCGTGAGGCAAGTGGAGGAAGACGAGGAGAGGAAGATCCATGACATCCAAATCAAGTATGAGAAGAAACTACACACGGAGGAAGAAACCACCACGAGTCTGAAGGGAGAAACCAGTCTCATGACTCAGAAGGTGAACAGATCCTTCTTCTTGTTGCATCTGCACAAAAACCTTTCCCTGTCATTCTCTCTCCGTCTCTAAAATATGCTGCGAGTGTTTCTACTTCCAGGCTGAAGACTTTTCTTTTTGCCGCTGCTTTTAATTGATATATTAATATCTCACACTGCACTGTAACTTTTATTCCTGTACCTGTGTTATTCATGTTTTATTATCTTTGCTTTTAAATTAGTGTTTTTAAATGCCATTTTATAATATGTTTCTTTATGCTCTTAATGTCTTTCATTGTCGTAAAGCGCTTTGAACTGCCTTGTGTTGAAAGGTGCTATATAAATAAACTTTGCCTTACTTCCTGTGTGACTGTGTGACTGTGTGATTGTGTGACTGTGTGTGTGACTGTGTGACTGTGTGTCTGTGTGTGATTGTGTGACTGTGACTGTGTGTGTGACCGTGTGTTTGATTGTGTAATTGTGTGACTATGTGACTGTGTGTGTGACTGTGTGATTGTGTGACTGTGTGATTGTGTGATTGTGTGATTGTGTGACTGTGTGATTGTGTGACTGTGTGAACAGTCCTTCAGTCTGCAGAGACAGATCGATGAGCGCTGCTCTGAGATCAAACATCTGAAGCAGGAGCGGCAGAGGCTTCTGGGTCTGATCCGCTCGCTGGAGAGCGACATCGAGGATCTGAAGAGGACCGTCTCTGGACACGAGAAGACCAGCCAGGACAAGGTGGCTTTAGACTTAACATTCAAATCCAGCATTGGTTTTGATATACAAATAAATACAATTTTGGCCGTTTCCACAATCATATAATAATGTCATGTTTTATCCTAAAGCTGTTGGTTTTGTTCGATATTCAAATCAAAGTGCTGTACAGGGAACAAATATAAAATAACAAGATAATGAAAAATAAGATAAAAAGCACAATAACTAGAAACATATAAAAACACATACAAATATCAAAATGTTATGTTCAACTAGTATTAAAAGCCAGAGCTTGTTCCTGCTCTCCTTCTAGCGCCACTTCTTGCTCTGATTACTGGCATTTAAAGGCGGGGGTGTCTCCGGACAGTTTTAGCTCCAGCTTCGTCTGATTATGAGCAATCTCAGGTCCATCAGCATGCTGGAAGTAAAGGGGTTACAATCAAACAAACAAAAACAAATCAAAATAAAAGCATGGGAGAAAAACTATTTCAAAATCACACAATAGATCACATTTCAATTAAATGCACTAAAGAGAATAAAAACACCTACATATATATGTATTGTTTTTTTTTGCCGTTTTCACAATGATTCAATATTATTATGATTTATCTGGGTCTCTGTAGTTACATTTAAGGTTAAACTAACGGCCCGTCCACACGGCAGCGTCCCGTGCTTCAACGGAGACGCTTCCCATTCACTTTGAATGGGGTGATGTCACGCTTTGCCGAACTGCATTGTGGTTCCGTCGCTTCGCTTTGCCTCCGTTGCTCGCTTCGAAAGTTGAGAACAGTTCAACTTTTCAAGCTTCGACGGAAGCGTCAGCCAATCAAATCATATGCCAGTACAAGCTCTCTAGCCAATCAAACCGCGTGCTTGTGTGTCCGGGGCGGGAGATTAATGTGATTGGTTGTTGGTCGCACGCCAGACACGCCCACCGGCTAGCTTCAACACATGCTGCCGTGTGGACGTACTGTTAGAGAGACTGGCAGAAATACATAAATAGACAAACAAAAAGATTTACTGTATGAATCACAAAAAGTATAAACATAAGACCCTGAAAAAAGTAAAGGAATTAGACTAAAGGCTTCCAATTAATGCAAAATGTAAGGTTTTTGGTCGGTGGGGAGAATATTACCTTAATTGGTCATAATTTGTCTTGAATAAATGTTAAATGAAATGAATATTTTTATCTAAAGTAGCATTGTGAAACTCAAAATACTGAGTAATTCCTTTTAAAAAAAAAATGTATTTGATAAATGCTAAAAACCCGGATAGCGAGTGTGCGCAGAATATTGATTTAAAAACAAGTCCTAAATCTAATTTGCCTTAAACGATACAAACCCTGTATTGACAATGTCTGTATGTAGATAATGAGAATATAAGCAATTTTTCATTTTAAGTGAGTGAGTCCTAAAACTCCTTCCCCCCGACAGGACAAGACCATCTGCAGCCTGAAGAAGAAGAACCAGGAGCTGGAGAAGCTGAAGTTCGTTCTGGATTTCCAGCTCAATGAGATGAAGAACCAGACGGAGCCTCAACAGGAAGACATAATCGAGAAGAAGGAGTGCATCCATCAGGTCTGAGATCAGGGAGAACGTTTTCTAAAAACTAAAACAGTCATTGTCCAAACGTTAGTGACCAGGAGCTTAAAGTTAAAGGTCTCCTATCATGCTAAATGCACTTTTTGATGTCTTTTATACATAAATATGTGTCCCCGGTGTGTCAGGGAACTCACGCAGCGTCAGAAAATAAAACCCTCTCTTTTCCTCCGTACCCAAATCTCTAAAAACGGGGCTACAACGGAGCTGATCCAGATTTGCGTCCGATATGACGTAATATCTGAAATGTGGACCCACGGCCCAATCAGAAACTGCTTTCAGAAACATTGCCCGACTGTTTTGGACGTAATATGGTCGGTGTTTACATTAGCATCGCTAACACTCAGAGCTAACCTGTACTGCAGAGCATGTGTGTGAAGAAGCAGGAAATAAAAAGGAACTCACCTTGTGGTATAACCGGCAAGAGAGAAAGCCTTTGAGCTCCATACTGTTTCAGAAATAATCCTTGATAATCCATGATATGGCGTTTCATCACGGCAGCATTTAGTTCAGACAGTAGCTGCCGGGTCCCGCATGAGCTCAGCCCCTCCTTTTTTATTTTGTATCAATTTATTTTTATTTGTTAAAGCTTTATACCCAAATCAGCACTTTTGAAACAGGAAGTGAAATAGAGGGATATGAGGCATGGCTAGAATGGGTGACCTGTTTGGTATTTTGAGCAAAACACTTCATAGACATGTTTTTTATATATTTGTATATATCTGAGACTATTGCCTAAAAATAGCATGATAGGTGACCTTTAAAGTAACTTGTAGTAAACAGAGGTGGGAAGTAGTGGAGTACAAATACTTTGTTACTGTACTTAAGTACATTTTTCTGGTATCAGTACTTTACTCAACTTTTTACTTTTACTTCTTACATTTTTAACCCAAATACCTGTACTTTCTACTTCTTACATGTTGAACACAAATACCTGTACTTTCTACTTCTTACATCTTGAACACAAATACCTGTACTTTCTACTTCTTACATGTTGAACACAAATACCTGTACTTTCTACTTCTTACATGTTGAACACAAATACCTGTACTTTCTACTTCTCACATGTTGAACACAAATACCTGTACTTTCTACTTCTTACATGTTGAACACAAATACCTGTACTTCTACTTCTTACATGTTGACACAAATACCTGTACTTTTCTACTTCTTACATGTGAACACAAATACCTGTACTTTCTACTTCTACATGTTGAACACAAATACCTGTACTTTCTACTTCTTACATGTTGAACACAAATACCTGTACTTTCTACTTCTTACATGTTGAACTCAAATACCTGTACTTTCTACTTCTCACATGTTGAACACAAATACCTGTACTTTCTACTTCTTACATGTTGAACACAAATACCTGTACTTTCTACTTCTCACATGTTGAACCCAAATACCTGAACTTTCTACTTCTTACATGTTGAACACAAATACCTGTACTTTCTACTTCTTACATGTTGAACTCAAATACCTGTACTTTCTACTTCTTACATTTTCCAAACAGGCTGGTTCCTTTAGTTTGAATGTGTGTTTGGTGGCGTGATCATTATTATTTAGAGTCATTGCGTGCCTATTGATTTGAACACGATCCGTGTATCCATCATTTCCTGGTCTTCTCTAAAGAAGAGGGACCAATGAAAACGTTGTCATGTTGCCGTTGTTCAGCATGGAAACATTCATTAGCTAACAATGACATTATTGTTCTATTAATATAAAGGGAGGTCAGGTACTCTTTAAAACAGCTGCTAGTTATGGGTACTTTTTACTTCAGTACATTTCAAAGCCCTCTTTACTTTTACTTGAGTAAAGAAGTTTAGTCAGTACTTCTACTTTCACCAGAGTATTTTTAAACACGAGTATCTGTACTTCTACTTGAGTAAAGGATGTGTGTACTTTTGCCATCTCTGGTAGTGGGTAACAAAGACACTGTGAGTCTCAGAGAATCTGTTTCTCTCTGCCTGCATGGTTTCAGTGATGAGATGTTTCGTGTGTTTCAGCTTCAGGAGGAGCTGGTTCAGATCGATAAGAGCAACACTCAGCTGAAGCTCAGCGTCTCCGAGCTGAGGCTCAAACTGAGGACCAGAGACAAGGAGATGCACAAGGAGGCGCAGAAGGTGAGAAACACTTTCAAACACTATAGAGGTTACATCATGATACATGCTGCTTTTCCCTAGAAACAGATATTAGATATTGACTGGAGCTTTGTTTGTTTTCCTCCTCTCATAGAGGCAACTGTGTCACATGTTTGAATTGTTAACACCCGCACTGTGTTTCTCTTTCACATTGGAGTATTCCACATTACATTTATTAGCAAACCTGTAATATTTGATGGGAATAGACTATTTTTTACAAGAGTGTAGACTTCTTCATTTCAATCAGGAGAGACGGTTTGGATGTAAGAATACATATTTATTGCCAGGAATACACAAATGAATGTAATGGAGTTTTGGCGATTAGGCCCCGTTGTGCAGGAGTATCATTCGGGAGGTGAGAACCGATCCGATGAAACCCCCCGGGGTCTAGACACTGGTGGTGGTGAATGGATAGTTGGGTCGGTCTGAAGGGGAGTGGCTTAGCTTGACCCTGGTGGTGGTGAATGGATAGTTGGGTCGGTCTGAAGGGGAGTGGCTTAGATTGACCCTGGTGGTGGTGAATGGATAGTTGGGGTCGGTCTGAAGGGGAGTGGCTTAGCTTGACCCTGGTGGTGTTGAATGGATGGTTGGGGTCGGTCTGAAGGGGAGTGGCTTAGCCTGACCCTGGTGGTGTTGAATGGATGGTTGGGGTCGGTCTGAAGGGGAGTGGCTTAGCCTGACCCTGGTGGTGTTGAATGGATGGTTGGGGTCGGTCTGAAGGGGAGGGGCTTAGCTTGACCCTGGTGGTGGTGAATGGATAGTTGGGTCGGTCTGAAGGGGAGGGGCTTAGCTTGACCCTGGTGGTGGTGAATGGATAGTTGGGTCGGTCTGAAGGGGAGGGGCTTAGCTTGACCCTGGTGGTGGTGAATGGATAGTTGGGGTCGGTCTGAAGGGGAGTGGCTTAGCTTGACCCTGGTGGTGGTGAATGGATAGTTGGGGTCGGTCTGAAGGGGAGTGGCTTAGCTTGACCCTGGTGGTGGTGAATGGATAGTTGGGGTCGGTCTGAAGGGGAGTGGCTTAGCTTGACCCTGGTGGTGGTGAATGGATAGTTGGGGTCGGTCTGAAGGGGAGTGGCTTAGCTTGACCCTGGTGGTGGTGAATGGATAGTTGGGTCGGTCTGAAGGGGAGTGGCTTAGCTTGACCCTGGTGGTGGTGAATGGATAGTTGGGGTCGGTCTGAAGGGGAGTGGCTTAGCTTGACCCTGGTGGTGGTGAATGGATAGTTGGGTCGGTCTGAAGGGGAGTGGCTTAGCTTGACCCTGGTGGTGGTGAATGGATAGTTGGGTTGGTCTGAAGGGGAGTGGCTTAGCTTGACCCTGGTGGTGGTGAATGGATAGTTGGGTCGGTCTGAAGGGGAGTGGCTTAGCTTGACCCTGGTGGTGTTGAATGGATGGTTGGGGTCGGTCTGAAGGGGAGTGGCTTAGCTTGACCCTGGTGGTGGTGAATAGATTATTGGGGTCGGTCTGAAGGGGAGTGGCTTAGCTTGACCCTGGTGGTGGTGAATGGATGGTTGGGGTCGGTCTGAAGGGGAGTGGCTTAGCTTGACCCTGGTGGTGGTGAATGGATAGTTGGGGTCGGTCTGAAGGGGAGTGGCTTAGCTTGACCCTGGTGGTGGTGAATGGATAGTTGGGGTCGGTCTGAAGGGGAGTGGCTTAGCTTGACCCTGGTGGTGGTGAATAGATTATTGGGGTCGGTCTGAAGGGGAGTGGCTTAGCTTGACCCTGGTGGTGGTGAATGGATAGTTGGGGTCGGTCTGAAGGGGAGTGGCTTAGCTTGACCCTGGTGGTGGTGAATAGATTATTGGGGTCGGTCTGAAGGGGAGTGGCTTAGCTTGACCCTGGTGGTGGTGAATGGATAGTTGGGTCGGTCTGAAGGGGAGGGGCTTAGCTTGACCCTGGATCCAGAAGGACAGGAGGTGATAAGGGGTGGAGGAGGGTTGCGTCGAGTCACCTGAAATGACAGCTGTCAGAGGGGAGAGCAGATTTAAAAGGGTTTAGCGGAGCGCTGTGATAGGCTTGTGAGAATAGAGCGAAGTGATTGGTTAAGCTGGGGAGTGACGCCCCCGATCACTTATTGAGAGGAGAGAGAGTAGAAACATAGAAATAGTAAATGAATCAGTAGAGACGGTCTTCCTGGTTGAACTTGCGCTGAGCTTCATATGTCAAAGCAGAAAAATTATGATGACAGGGATGCAAACTCATCAGGTATGAAAAAGGTGACAAGGATCCGACCCCCCCGACCCCACGGAATATCGGCTTTAAAATGAGGAATAACAGAGGATTTTAGCAGTCAGAACAACTAAAGCAGTTAATAATAACAGAAACTCCAAAGAGTCACATCTAATAGAAATATATAAAAGCATTTATTTTAATTGTGTAGCAGTCAGTTTATAATTTTGGCAGCACTGTTGAGCATTTTGAAAATGTATTTTCATGCCTCTGTGCAAGGCTTAGTCTTTCTATCTTTATAGCCAGTGGTGTAAAGTAAGTTCATAAACTCAAGTACTATACTTGGGTACAATTTTGAGATACTTAATAATAAATTAATTAATAATTAATTTAATTTATATAGCGCTTCTCATCTGCCAAGACAAATCTCGAAGCGCTTCACAGCAAAGGACACTGATACAATTTGAGAGACTAAACAAATAATAATAATAATACAAATTAAAAATTAAAACAAAATTAAATAAAAATTAAATATAAAATTAAATTAAAATAAATAAATTAAATAAAAGTCCGAGATAGCGATAAAAATGGCAATACTCCAGGTGTACCATGCTCAAAGTTTATTGGAAGGCCTGCCGAAAGAAGAAGGTCTTATGGCCCGTCCACACAGCAGCGTTAAAAAAATGTTGGAGGTGGGCGTATCTGAAGCTTGGGGATTTTTTGCGAGCAAGGCACCAACAACCAATCACATGAATCTCCCGCCCGCGACATACGAAGCAAAAAAGCCCGAAGTAAACTGGATATAAACTCCCCAAACAGGCGAAAACCTACCACTGTCTCTGCCACCTCCCTCCATGCCTGGCTCCTCCGGTTTGTATCCCGGTAGGTAAATAGGGACTGGTCATAAAGCACCGGGTGATTCCCTACCGCTAATTTCTCCTCCATTTTTTGGAATATGAGGAAATGACCTGCGGTATGTCTCTCCCAGCATACACGCCGTTTGATTGGCTAGCGCTTGAACTGTCAGATTTGCATACACAGGATTTGATTGGCTGACGCTTCCACCTCAGCTTCAAAAGTTGAACATTGCTCAACTTTGAAATCCTGAAAATCTCCGCTCGCCTGCCCACAATGCAGTTCGGCGAAAAGTGAGGCAAAGTGATGTCACCCCATTCAAAGTGAATGGGCAGAAGTGTTCCAAGATTTTTTTAACGCTGCTGTGTGGACGGGCCGTTAAGGCCGTCTTACTTGTACTTTATTTAAGTATTTCAATGTTTTGCTACTTTGTACTTCTACTCTACAGTTCAGAGGTAAATTGTGTACTTTTACTCCACTACATGTATTTAATACCTTTAGTTACTTTACAGATGTGGATGAATGATGTGAAATATAATCAAGTGTTAAATCAGACTTTAGTTCCACCTGGAGTAAATCCACAAGCTACCCTGCAGTATACAAAGTCATTCAAACTAGCTGCACCTTTACCAGCTTTGAGAACACTTTCATGATCAATCATTATAAAACATATCATATATATTATTCTGAAATGGACCAATCTGCACAATGACTACTTTTACTGTCGCTACTTTCACTATATTTTGATGAGAATACTTTTCTACTTTTCCTTGAGTATCATTTTGAATGCAGGACTTTTACTGTAACAGAGTATTCCTACACTCTGGTACTTCTACTTTTACTCAAGTACAAGATCTGAGTACTTCTACTTTTACTCAAGTACAAGATCTGAGTACTTCTACTTTTACTCAAGAACAAGATCTGAGTGCTTCTACTTTTACTCAAGTACAAGATATATACTTATACCACCTCCGTTTATAGCCTATGAAAAAAACTATTTGAAAACGAAGACTAAAGCTAACGTTAGCAGATAGTGACAATGTATGCTAGTTAGCTAGCTCAACGATAATATTGTGACAGGAACACTTTTCAGTGCACATCACGCTCTGCCGCTCCAACAGGGAGCTCTGCTCTGAACACCTGAACGGCCCGTTCTAACAGCTGTTCACCAGCGGTCCAGTCTGTGCCACAGTGACTCCGGACCGCACAGTTAATATTAACGAACGCACCCGTAGGTAATGTAGCTGCTGAAGCGAGACCCTCATCCCGGAGCAGCAGAGCCTTATTATACATCCATGAGCAGAGCCGACAGGCAGGAAGACTCGAGCACACAGCTCGCGCTTCATTATAATATATAAAAAAAGAACACCATGCGTGTCATGATGGCACATAACAGCTCGCGGCCGCAGATTACTCCGGGTCCCAGACCCCCCCATACCCCAAAAATATTCAATCACACAAACGACCTATTTTGGATTCAAAACGGCGAACTTCGCCGAAAGGTGACAAGTTTGCATCCCTGATGATGATAGCTTCATTTGATTCGCTGCTAAGCAGAAGGGGATGGACAGTAACACAAAATGGTCTTCATTAAAGAAGATACTCACTTTATTTGTCTAACTGATGAAACATTGTGTTCATTTATATAACTAAATGCCAGGAGAAGTTGAAATCAAACTGATTATTTTGGCTCGAAGTTTTCCTTTAACTTTAAAACTAATTTATGCACCGCTTTGTTTCCAGTGTAGAAATTATTAAAGACCCCAATAACTCTTTACAGTTACACATTCCCAAAAGAAAGATGTGGTTAAAAAAATGAAATATCCTAAATGTTTTGTGCGTCCAGGTGAAAGACCTAGAGACACATCTCCAGCGGCTCAAGGCAGACCTCCATAACTGTGTGGGCTTCATCCAGGAGCCCAAGAAACTGAAGGAGAGCATGCAGACGATCTACGCCCGATATGTAGCTGACGGGGTGAGGGTTCAGAGAGAACTCTTTAAAGTAGAGACACTACATACTGATATACACCTGAACATCAGCAGGAGAGGACTATTTAAAGTAGAGACACTACATACTGATATACACCTGAACATCAGCAGGAGAGGACTCTTTAAAGTAGAGACACTACATACTGATATACACCTGAACATCAGCAGGAGAGGACTATTTAAAGTAGAGACACTACATACTGATATACACCTGAACATCAGCAGGAGAGGACTCTTTAAAGTAGAGACACTACATACTGATATACACCTGAACATCAGCAGGAGAGGACTCTTTAAAGTAGAGACACTAAATACTGATATACAGCTGAACATCAGCAGGAGAGGACTCTTTAAAGTAGAGGACACTACATACTGATATACACCTGAACATCAGCAGGAGAGGACTCTTTAAAGTAGAGACACTACATACTGATATACACCTGAACATCAGCAGGAGAGGACTCTTTAAAGTAGAGACACTACATACTGATATACACCTGAACATCAGCAGGAGAGGACTATTTAAAGTAGAGACATTACATACTGATATACACCTGAACATCAGCAGGAGAGGACTCTTTAAAGTAGAGACACTACATACTGATATACAGCTGAACATCAGCAGGAGAGGACTATTTAAAGTAGAGACATTACATACTGATATACACCTGAACATCAGCAGGAGAGGACTCTTTAAAGTAGAGACACTACATACTGATATACACCTGAACATCAGCAGGAGAGGACTCTTTAAGTAGAGACACTACATACTGATATACACCCTGAACATCAGCAGGAGAGGACTCTTTAAAGTAGAGACACTACATACTGATATACACCTGAACATCAGCAGGAGAGGACTCTTTAAGTAGAGACACTACATACTGATATACACCTGAACATCAGCAGGAGAGGACTATTTAAAGTAGAGACACTACATACTGATATACACCTGAACATCAGCAGGAGAGGACTATTTAAAGTAGAGACACTACATACTGATATACACCTGAACATCAGCAGGAGAGGACTATTTAAAGTAGAGACACTACATACTGATATACACCTGAACATCAGCAGGAGAGGACTATTTAAAGTAGAGACACTACATACTGATATACACCTGAACATCAGCAGAATAGGGGCTCCTAAAGAGTGCAGGGGTTAAATTCGGTCCCAGTCTCATTGGGAGTCTGCTTGTGTTGTTTTCTAGGTGGAGCAAAGTGGCGTAGAAGAAGAAATTCAGAGGGCTTTCTGTCGGCAGCGTGATCACCTGGAGAAAACTGTCAACGGGCTCAAGACCAGACTGGCCAAATCTGCTGAGCAGCATGAGCAGGTCTACGTCAAGATCATGAAGGTAAGACATGCAACAGATTTAAAATATTGGAACAATCCTAGTCTATAGTTGTATTCACATGACTCGTCGCCCCCCCCTGCAGGAGAACGTTGGTCTGATCACTGAAATCAATGAGCTGCGTAAGGAGCTGCTTCTGCAGAGAACTCAGGTCAAAGACTACAAATCCCAGCTGTCCGTCTTAAAGAAGTCCAAGAGGTCGCGTCCTAACTCTGAGGAAGGGACGAAAAAAGGAGTCTCAGCGTGAAGAGGTGGAGTGAAAAACTCAGAGTGACTCCCAACTCCTCCACCGTGCAGAAAGGCCTTCATCGACACAATAATACCCGTCAATGATTTGCATTTGTTAAGCTTGTATTATTTGTATAAGATTAAAAATGTATCTTCGTCAGCAAATCACTGTCTGATTTATTCCTGATTATAAAACGGACAAGTCAAATCAAGCAATCTGATTGGTTCTTAGCCGTGATATACTGAGCGTATACCACGGGTAGAATTGTAAGTTACTTTTCACAACAAGTCAGTATCCCTCCGCGTCTGAGAAAAACAATATACAGTTGGGCTGAAAAGCAAACTGCCTGCAGTTTGCTTTTCAGACTGGAACAAGAAAGCAGCGGAGAAGTAACGGGGCAGAAACCCTCCTTTTTACGCAACGGTCCAGACATAGACATCAAACGGCAAAAACATATTCAGTGTGCAGTTCCTTTGGCATTAGGGCAGGGATATCTAGATACTTTCCAAGGTTTGACATAATGAATTGTGCTACTTTTAAAGCAAGCAACGATGTTTTCAGATCTGTAATCAAAAAGGTCCGCAAAAACATTTAAGATTAACTTCGACCTCCGGGGGGGGGGTGTCTTACTATGGAGGAGTGGATTGAGGAGTGCCTATCTCCAGAACAAAAAGCACCTAAACGACGACATGCAGAGCTACGTGAAGAGCAGGTCGACCAACTGGAAAAGTACCACCATTCAAAAGCTTTCTGATGCGGGTCTTGAAACAAAGCAGAGAAATGATGACCGTTAGTGGCCACAGGTGCGAAAGCTCTCTCCAGAGCTACTGGAAGCCGAATCTCGGGGACCGGAGAAAGTGGAGCAATATTCTCGCCACGCCAAGCAACAGCCTAGAACAACCTCAGCCTATACAAGTAACCACGTAAGCCATGCTACTGATGCTGGACAGTTTTTCAGTGGGTGCACAATAAACGGCAACATACACATTAATGTAAATAAATAGCCAAATAATGGATCAACGCTCTCTGTCTAATATGTTCGCTAGCTGTTAGTGTTGTTGCATAGCAACCACCTCGCACTATGTTTCGTGCAGAAGGCAACAGAGGGACTATTTTATTTTGAACATCATTATTTACTAATAACAACTATTTAAATTAGAATGTATTTTCTTTCATATTGCCACACTTGGTAACCGTTTTATAAAAACAATAGCTCACTTCAGGCCGTGATATATGCTCATTATATCACAGCTAAGGGGCGTGGTTCGACCCTCCGCTTCGCGTCGGGCCGAACCACGCCCCTTAGCTGTGATATAATGGCCATATACCACGGCCTGTCGTGAGCTATTGCTTAAATATAAGACTGAGAATATGGAGCAGGAAGAAATGAAACTACACGGTGTGAACTCAATAGTTTATTAACACAACTCTTAATACATGTTTAACAGAAAAGGTGACGAGGATAGAAGAGTAAAAAACACACACAGAACCAGAAGTATAACAGAGAACCAGAAGTATAACAGAGAACCAGAAGTATAACAGAGAACCAGAAGTATAACAATGAATAAAGTGAAATTATTGCTTTAAGCTAGCGGACATCTTTCCAAGGCCCTGCTTCAGGTTGGCCGTTTGCATGTCGATCCTCCGCTGCATTGCGTCCATAGACGTGGAGAGCGTGTAGTAAAGAGCCTGAACAGAGGGGGAGGAGGAGGGAGGAGGAGGACGTGTTACTTTCAAAGCACGAAGGAAAAAACATCACATTTAAAATGTCCTCGTACCTCAGACAAAGTGTTAACCATTAGCCAATCAGCAACCAAGGTAACACCCCCCCCCCTATCACCTGAATCTCCTCCTAGAGCACCATTGTGTTATTTTTAACCAATCATCTCTCAGAGGGGCGTGGCCAGCAGCAGCTCATTAGCATTTAAAGCTACATACACAGAATGAGCACTTTTGAAACAGGGCTGAAACAGAGGGGATTATGGGATGCTGCAATGATCTGTTTGGTGTTTCAGCCAATCAGAGACAGGTTCTGTATATATCTGAGACCTGTGATATATTGTTGAAAAACAGTATAATAGGGGACCTTTAAGACGTGCTGCTGCCGAGTTGAAGTCAAGCACTCTGGTTATGATATCTAGTGGAATGTATTCCCCTAACCACAATATGATGTTTATGTTATTTTAGCAGAATCTGAATCAATAGAAAGATTTAAATTGATGGGACTTAAACAGATTCTCCCGTTCAGTACGAGCTGATAGTCTCGTACCTGAGCCTTCTTGGTCTCTTTGCTGCACACTTCCCTCAGACTCTGGATCTTGGCCTTCAGCTGCTGCGTCTCGCTGGAGATCTCCTGGATCTTATCGGCCATCTCCTCGCGCTTCTGATGGATGTGGTTGTACTCCCTGGAGAACAGATCGATTGTGTTTACAACCATGTAAATGATATATCATAGAATAGACAGGAAGTAAAATCATTTAGTGATAAGTACCCCAGCACTTCCTGCACATGCTGCTCCTTCATCTCCTTCTTCTTCTGCCTCCGGATGTTCAGTTTGGATTCTTTGTCCAGCTTCATGCCCAGAGCTCTCTTCAGCTGAACCTCCTCGCTGCACAGGGTCTTCAACTCCTTCTGCTTATTCTCGTACTGAGCCGTCAGCTCCTGGTGCTGCACACACACACACACACACACACACACACACACACACACACACAAAGCTGTTATTAGTTAAGGCAGTGGTTCCCAACCGGGGGGGGGCGCAGCGCACACAGAGATACGCCACAGAGCGTTCAAAAGTGACAATCTAATCTACAGAGCTCGATGTGGTCAATGCTTGTTTGCCATAAGTATTTTCGCGGAAACACGAGCAATCTGTCCATTAGCTGGCCAAAAGGCATCATATTCATACGGAGAAATGCACCGTTTTCAACTTCCTTAAAGCTCCCATGTCATGCTTTTCCGGTTATTACCCGTCCCCTTGTGTGTTATGAAGGTTTTTATGCATGTAAACGGTGTGCAGAGTCAAAACCCTCAAAGTACACCCTGTAGCGAGTAAAACTCTAACACAGAAAATACCTCCCCAAAACGCCTCGTTGGAGATACGTCACTGCCCATTTGATTCTTCCGGGTACCGCCTGATGTCATGCGGTACCCGGAACGAAATGGACCAATCCCGAAGAGCTATGGCCACACCAGCAGCGGCGTGTTCCTCCAGAGGTTCGAAGGACCGGCATTTCACAGACGAAAGCTTCCAAAACATTGCCCAGTTTGAGGCCGGATATGCACAGCTTGTTTGGGACCGTTTGGAGCAGGGGAAGATCTGGGTATACAACCTGTAAGTTTGCATTGTTTATTTGTGTATTTATCAACAAGACTGTTTAAATGTGTAAACTGTGTTGGACTGCTAAGCCATTGACACAGTGCTAACTGTGCTAACTAAGTTGCTAGAGTTTCCATATATCAACTACAATGTCAGCAGATGGCCTTACATGTTTGTCATGGCAGGAGAATGTCTGCATTCACACACACGGAATACTCATACAGTATACTGTACTGTGATTTACCGTACATTGTGACCGTACATATACTGCATGTAGCTAACGAGGCTAGCTGTATGCTAGCGCAAAACAATGTATTCATGCAAGTTACATTGTATGGTAGCAGAATACCCGTATACGATTGCAATTATAAACACGTTATTGCTAGCCTAATATGAACCACTAGCTTTTGTTCATAGTAGTTTTATTACACTGCATTATAGTTGCCTTTCCTCCAAGCTAACGTTCATATCGTGTTAGCTACCAAGGTAAACAAAGCTAGGTTAGCATATTAGCAGGCAAGCTGTTCATTACACAACTACTACTAACGAATCTAAAACAACTAAGTTTCTCTAATATTTTGTGATTTGCATTTGATTTCGTCCAGCCAGATCCTGGCGGACAATCCATGACGTGCTAAAAGGCACTTCTACTACTACTGAGGCGTCGTGCTAAAAGGCACCGCACCGACTGTGCGCAGGCAAGATGCGAGGAGGAGGAATGGATGATATACCGTGTGTATATATATGTATATTTATGTTCATTTTGTACATTTCTAAAAATAAAGTTTAATGGAAATACTTAGTAGGCCTATCCTTTCTTCCCTGAATTCATATATAGCAAACCATGATTTGATTTCTCATCAAACAGTAGTAGTTTATAACGGGTAAAAATAACTTACTCTTTGTTATGAGCGGCTCGTAGGCCACAACGGAAAGACAAGGAGACATACACGAGTTTACAAAACCACGGCACATTTATTGTGGTAAATGCAAAGATAGGTGGTTGAGAGGATCGCAGAGTTAGTCTTCCTGCAGCCGCTTTGGAGAGAGACTGGGGCCGTAGTGTCCGGAGGTGTCCGTGATCGTGCTGATTAGCCTCTTCAGCTCCACCCCATCGTAAGACAAAGGCCCTGAGGCCGTCACACTCTTCTATAACAACAGTTAAAAATATATATGTATATAAAATATACCGCTGTACCGACGCCATGATAAGACTGATGTTACGCTGAGAGCAGCCGGGAAAAGCACTGACATGGGCGCAGCCTCTCTGGTGGTTGACTAATCAGAACGAGTGGCCGAGCTGACCAATCGGAGCACACTAGGCTCACAGGGAGGGGGGGGCAAGAGCTCCAACGAGTCGTTTAGTGGAGAAAGTGAATACTGCTGAATACACATGCTTGACAGAGATGCTGTATGCGAAACCAATGTGAGTTTGGAAAATTGCACAGTATAAATCTATTTTAGTATACCTCAACAATGTAATTATGATCAGTGGAAATGGCCATGACATGGGCCCTTTAAGTCAGAGTTCTGTTGCTCCAATTACGTGTAAGGTGGGAGAAGTACTCAGATCAAGTACTTAAGTCAAAGTAGTATACTGCAGGGTAGCTTGTGAATTTACTCCAGGTGGAACTAAAGTCTGATTTAAGAGTTGATTATATTTCACATCATTCATCCACATCTGTAAAGTAACTAAAGGTATTAAATACATGTAGTGGAGTAGAAGTACACCATGTACCTCTGAATTGTAGAGGAGCAGAAATACAAAGAAGCAATAGTGGAAATACTTAAGTACCTCAATATAAGTACAGTACTCGAGTAAATCTACTTACTACCACCACTGCAGGTATGTGTGCTAGCAGCCCATAATCCACACTATACATGAAATGAATCAATGTGAATTCTGTTTCTAATTTGTTTAGTTTTCCCCCTAAAAAAGAACCTATCATAAAAATACTGTGAAAGAACCGGATCAATAAAACTTATTTGTAATTGTTTCCATTAGAACTCATTATTTCACAGTGGCACAGGATCATCTGCCAATACAAGCACTTTGGTTCATGTTCAATCCATAATAACATGTACAATTATAGTTGGATCTTTTTGTCTTGTTATTATTAGCAGAGAAAATGTAACGTTTGTTCAACTATATACAATTAATTCTACCAATCTCGGTGGGAACCGGGTTAGGGGGGGGCTCGAAAATATTTCCAATTACACAAGGGGGGCCTGACTGAAAAAGGTTGGGAACCACTGAGTTAAGGAATGGTTTCTGGTGTCACCACTCCCCGATGTACCTGCCTGTAAGAAGATGATCAACATGCCTACTCATTAACTCTCGATGAATACATGTTAACATCTCTACAATGTAGCACGAGTCTCCACTGAGGCTAACTTAACATAAAGTTGTGTCGAAATATGGAGATATCTTTTCGTTAACACGTGTCAAGATGTGTGAGAGTGTACAAGCTGTAAGATAACGGTCGCCAACAGCTTTAACTTTGCTGTCCGGCTTTCAGTTAGCCGAGTTGATGATAACTCCAATGCTGCTCAGAGTCTCTGTTTACGGTAAGGTTATTGACAATTCACAACAGAGTCAACCAATCAGAGCAGACTGGGCTCTGGTTTCAGACAGAGGGTGAAAAGAGGTGCTGCAGCACAGGCAGTATGAGAAAAATAAAGAGCTTTTTGAACATTAAAGCATGGAGACATGTAGAGACACTACATACTGATATACACCTGAACATCAGCAGGAGAGGACTCTTTAAAGTAGAGACACTACATACTGATATACACCTGAACATCAGCAGGAGAGGACTCTTTAAAGTAGAGACACTACATACTGATATACACCTGAACATCAGCAGGAGAGGACTCTTTAAAGTAGAGACACTACATACTGATATACACCTGAACATCAGCAGGAGAGGACTCTTTAAAGTAGAGACACTACATACTGATATACACCTGAACATCAGCAGGAGAGGACTCTTTAAATTAGAGACACTACATACTGATATACACCTGAACATCAGCAGGAGAGGACTCTTTAAAGTAGAGACACTACATACTGATATACACCTGAACATCAGCAGGAGAGGACTCTTTAAAGTAGAGACACTACATACTGATATACACCTGAACATCAGCAGGAGAGGACTCTTTAAAGTAGAGACACTACATACTGATATACACCTGAACATCAGCAGGAGAGGACTCTTTAAACATCAGCAGGAGAGGACTCTTTAAAGTAGAGACACTACATACTGATATACACCTGAACATCAGCAGGAGAGGACTCTTTAAAGTAGAGACACTACATACTGATATACACCTGAACATCAGCAGGAGAGGACTCTTTAAAATAGAGACACAACATACTGATATATATATTGTCCTACCTCCTGCTCCCGCTGCTTGCTGTTGGTCAAGCTGCTCTCCAGGTCCTGCAGCAGGTTGAACATCTGCTGGAGCTTAGCCTCAGTGTGAGTCACGCTCTGCATCATGCTCTGCAGCTCCACCACCCGCCCGTCTGTGTCCTCCTGGAGTCAAACAATCATAACAATACGTTTATTTAGTATAGCACCTTTCACAGAAATAACATTCACAAAGTGCTGCACAAGAAAGAACACGCGTTTAAATGAAGACCACAGAAACATGAATGCAATAACAACATGAGGCAGACATTAAGGTTAACATAAAAACAAAACACAGAGCACGTTGAGTCCAGAAAGGAACACACATAAGAACAGAACACACACCTCAGGTAGAAACTAAAGCCAATGTTAAAAGATGGGTCTTCAGTTGTTTTTTAAAGCGGATGACTATAGGGAGAGAGTTGGAGCACCACTTGAAAGGCACGGTCACCTTTAGTTTTTAAACGAGAGCGTGGGACAGCCATTAGTCTGAAGACCTAAGTGACCTACTGGAGAAGGTCACATATATTCTCCGGTGCATATATGCCGGAGACAACACATCATACGGCTGAGTGACCCGACACAGATCAGTGTGAGAAGACGTCTGTTTCTCTAGAGAACTCACGATGGTGCACTTGATGGTCTTCACGTCCTCCCTCATCCTCTCCATCTGACTCTTCAGCTCCTCTGGAGACTCCACGATCTGAGACCTGAGTTTACTGACGTCTTCCTTCAGGTTGCTGACGTCCACCTTCAACTGGGTCTGACACACACACACACACACATCACATCACACACACACAAACACATCACATCACACACACACACACACACATCACATCACATCACACAAATTAATCAGGGTTTCCCACACATAGACTTTACTTGGGCCCGGTATATTAACGGTCAAGTATATTTCGCGACCCATTTAATAAAAAAATGTTATCCGTCCGCGACCACGACACCATCGAGTGTTTCATTCCTTCCCGGCCTGACTTATTGTCTCGGTCCGGCCCGGCCTGTTCGCTCTGCCGTCGCATGAAGGGTCTGCTAACAGAAAGGTTAATGTTGTTGCACGTCACAAAGGCACGGCACCCCGCACCCCCCCCAAGTATATTTCAGATCTGTGGGAAACAGTGTTAATTGTAAACATTTATCAATAATTTTTTTTTAAAGAGAATCTGTAAGAGAGTCTGAGGAATATCTCGACTGCAGCTCCAAGTATTTTCCGCGTATTTTGCCTTTTCAACAACATTTTGAATTAATTGTGCAGCCCAAAACCTCAAAAGGAGATTGTCTACAAAGACTTTATATCAGTCACGTACCAGTTTCTGAGTCTTCTCTGCATTCTTGGTTTTCCACTCCGCGATGCTTTCATTTCTCACGTTCTGAAAGGAGATTTCGTGTTACATTCGAGCACAAACACACACACATTTAGAAGCAGGTGTTATTATCACAGGGATGCAAACTCATCAGGTATGAAAAAGGTGACAAGGATCCGAGCCCCCCGACCCCACGGAATATCGGCTTTAAAATGAGGAATAACAGGATTTTAGCAGTCAGAACAACTAAAGCAGTTTATAACAGAAACGCCAAAGAGTCACATCTAATAGAAATGTATAAAAGCATTTATTAGGGCCCGAGCACGGAGCGCTAGGACCCAACGGCGTCCTAGCACGAAGTGCAAGGAACCTATTGTTTTCCTACGTATTATTATTATTAGGAATCATATTTCCTGTTTTTGAGGCCTTTAGGACGCTTCAAAAGTTGTATAATTTTGCACGGACGCCAGGACCGGTAAAAATTACAACATTCTGGAGTCAATGGGTTAAAAATATTCCAACCTGCTCACTAGCGCCACCTATCAAAATCCATTTCGGAATCATTTTACAACATCGCACCGTAACTCCAAATGACCTGACATTTTGCACACACATCCGGGTGGACCTGCTCTACAAATAATCCTCTTGGAACCCTAAGCTCCGCCTACATTTTTTTAAATGTAAATTAGCATAATGTTCAAAACAGTGAAATATTCACTTAAATTTCAATTTTCAGTTTTTCAACACCAAACTTCGTATACAGCATCGGTGGAGGGTCAGACACATTACCATAGAAAATGAGCATGTTAAGACGATAAATATTGCCGCCATGAATCAAAACGTACTCGCAAAAAGGCGGGGCTTACAAAGAAATGCTCACACCGCCTCTGCTGGCGACAAATTCAATTACAACAGACACTCATACACTCCACAACACACACCTACTCACTGTACAACACACACAGCTCCTAATGCATATAATGTATATCAGGCTACAGCCCTTGTATATTTTATTATGTGAAGCACTATATGGTTTCATGAATAATATCTACTCTTTACTTGTAGATATCTACTAAAGCATACAAATAATGTGTGCAATGTAGGCCTGTTACATATATTATTGCTGTTCTCACTGTACTGTAAACATCGCATCTGAATGAAAGCAGTTGTATGAAAAACAAATAGCCTATCATCCAGGGGAGATGTGATTAGTGAGTAAACAAACGGTAAAGGGCAGAAAGTATGATGCACATTTGATCATCTTAAATAACTTATAATCACAACGGGAAAGGTTTGCAGAGCTGTGCTTCGTTGACATAATTCAAAAATTATAGAAATGACAAACTGCTCATTTCCGAGGACTCGTGCGCGTCTGCTTGACGCCGGGACGACCGGCCGCCCTCCCCGACAGGCACACGGACGAGAGGGCCCGCTCATCACTGCGCGCACTTCTGCGACCGCAGTTTTAATTTTAATTGTGTAGCAGTCAGTTTATTATTTTGGCAACACTGTTGAGCATTTTGAAAATGTATTTTCATGCCTCTGTGCAAGGCTTAGTCTTTCTATCTTTATAGCCACTGGTGTAAAGTAACTAAGTTCATAAACTCAAGTACTATACTTGGGTACAATTTTGAGATACTTGTACTTTATTGTACTTGTGTAAATCCACAAGCTACCCTGCAGTATACAAAGTCATTCAAACTAGCTGCACCTTTACCAGCTTTGAGAACACTTTAATGATCAATCATTATAAAACATATCATATATATTATTCTGAAATGGACCAATCTGCACAATGACTACTTTCACTGTCGCTACTTTCACTATATTTTGATGATAATACTTTTATACTTTTACTTGAGGAACATTTTGAATGCAGGACTTTTACTGTAACAGAGTATTCCTACACTCTGGTACTTCTACTTTTACTCAAGTACAAGACCTGAGTACTTCTAGTTTTACTCAAGAACAAGACCTGAGTACTTCTACTTTTACTCAAGTATAAGATCTGAGTACTTCTAGTTTTACTCAAGAACAAGACCTGAGTACTTCTACTTTTACTCAAGTACAAGACCTGAGTACTTCTACTTTTACTCAAGAACAAGACCCGAGTACTTCTACTTTTACTCAAGAACAAGATCTGAGTACTTCTACTTTTACTCAAGTACAAGATCTGAGTACTTCTACTTTTACAAACAAGACCTGAGTACTTCTACTTTTACTCAAGTACAAGTCCTGAGTACTTCCACTTTTACTCTAGTACAAGATCTGAGTACTTCTACTTTTACTCTAGTACAAGATCTGAGTGCTTCTACTTTTACTCAAGTACAAGATATATACTTATACCACCTCCGTTTATAGCCTATGAAAAAAACTATTTGAAAACGAAGGCTAAAGCTAACGTTAGCAGATAGTGACAATGTATGCTAGTTAGCTAGCTCAACGATTCATTAAATAATATTGTGACAGGAACACTTTCAATGCACATCACGCTCTGCCGCTCCAACAGGGAGCTCTGCTCTGAACACCTGAACGGCCCGTTCTAACAGCTGTTCACCAGCGGTCCAGTCTGTGCCACAGTGACTCCGGACCACACAGTTAATATTAACGAACGCAACCCGTAGGTAATGTAGCTGCTGAAGCTAGACCCTCATCCCGGAGCAGCAGAGCCTTATTATACATCCATGAGCAGAGCCGACAGGCAGGAAGACTCGAGCACACAGCTCGCGCTGCATTATAATATATAAAAAAAGAACACCATGCGTGTCATGATGGCACAGAACAGCTCGCGGCCGCAGATTACTCCGGGTCCCAGACCCCCCCCCCCCATACCCCAAAAATATTTTTATTGCAGATCTACATGAATCACACAAACGACCTATTTTGGATTCAAATGGGCGAATTTCGCCGAAAGGTGACAAGTTTGCATCCCTGTATCATGTGGCTCTTTAATCACCACTTCCTGGAACTCGTGCGAGGTGGTGGTCTGCAGCTCGGAGAGAGACGCTGCCAGCTCGTCGGCCTCCGCCTGCTGCTCCGGGGGGATGGTGCTGAGGAACAGAATATATCTTTGAATTGGAAAAAGTGTGTGTAGTTTAAAGGTCCCCTATTATACTGTTTTTCATCAATATATTATAGGTCTCAGATATATACAGAGCCTGTCTCTGATTGGCTGAAACACCAAATAGATCATTGCAGCATCCCATAATCCCCTCTGTTTCAGCCCTGTTTCAAAAGTACTGATTCTCTGTCTGTTACTTTAGATGAAAATAAGGAGCCCCTCCCCACGCCCCTCTGAGAGATGATTGGTTAAAAAGAACTCAATGGTGCTCTAGGAGGAGATTCAGGTGATAAGGTGGGGGTTACCTTGGTTGCTGATTGGCTAATGGTTACACTAGCCAAGAAAATCGTTATGACATAAAGTGGCCAAAATCTGATCAGCTCATTTTCAGACAGGTTTTTATAGAAATGGATCAGGACAAAAAGAGAGAGAATCTTTGTTCCTGAAACTTTCAGAGTCTCTTTACACAGAGGGGACACATGTTGATGTAGAGGAGACATGAAGAAGAGGGGACACATGTTGATGTAGAAGAGACATGAAGAAGAGGAGACACATGTTGATGTAGAAGAGACATGAAGAAGAGGGGACACATGTTGATGTAGAAGAGACATGAAGAAGAGGGGACACATGTTGATGTAGAAGAGACATGAAGAAGAGGGGACACATGTTGATGTAGAAGAGACATGAAGAAGAGGGGACACATGTTGATGTAGAAGAGACATGAAGAAGTGGGTTTTGCATAATAGGTGACCTTTAAGGGTTAATCTCAAAATAGTGCTGACATGAAAACGTAATTATTACTGAGGTAATGTAATCTTTTCTTTTTCAAATGATCCACAAAATACAGTAAATATTTTGTGACAAGGACTGCTAAAACAAGAAACTATTGTCAATTAGTATCTCCATTATGTCTATCTGGTTTGGAAACTGGTAACAAAAAAACATGACCTAAACAAAACAAAAAAGAGCTAATAATTACGTAGAGAAGCAGCAACACAAACACACATCTGATTGAGACTTACTTCAGCGTCTCGATCTTCTTCTGTGCTTCTGAAATGCCTTTGTTCAAAGCCTGCAGCCGGTCCCTGTCTGCCCTCTGAAACACAGAGAAGCTGTTACAACATCTCCACACACACACACACACACCAGGAGATAGGCAGCATCCTTGTCAGCAGTGACAACAACAGTCGTATCAGTGAGAATAAAACAGGAAATGGTCAAAGGAACTTTTATCTACTCACATGTGGGCATTCATAGACTAAATATCTCATCAAGTGGAACATGTGCCAAAAGTCCTAGCTCTCTTAAAATGGTTTATCACCGAAATAATATCCCTAATTAAAGCAGTTGTTTATTATTATTTATAGACCTTTTGTTTTTAGGGATTACCAGTGCTTATCGCCTACTGCTAACCCCTCCCCCCTATTGACTATTCCAGTGTGAACTAATATAAATAAATCCCTCAAAACTCACCTTTTCTCTCTTGCCTTCAACTCCTAATCCTCTAACCCCTCACCCCTATTCCACCTAGCTTAGCACTTTTTACTTTGTTGTTATGTGTCTTCTTTACTTGCTTGTAAAGCACTTTGAGCACCAGGAAAAGCGCTATATAAATAACATGTATTATTATTATTATTATAATAATAACATACTAGTTTGGATTTCTTCTCATGGATCATGTCCATCCTCTGCTTCCTGAAGTGAAGATAGTTCATGATGGCGCTCAGAATAATCAGGGTCTTCTGCTTTCTGGGGAGAGAAAACGACGCCATGTGGGTTATCCAACAGGGAAGCAGAACATTAAAATCTCTTGACAGTTGAAACTAAAGAAGGTTTACTTACTTGGAACTAGGAGGTCACTCAGGGCGAAATCGTGCACCAAGCAGATGGGAAGAAACTGACGCCTAGGAAAAGGAAACGAGAACAACAGGAAGCGCCCTGCTTATTAATTAAATCTATTTAGTTTGCTTACGTATATCTAAATACATTAAAGATCCCCTATTATCAGGGGTGCACATAACTGGTACGCAGGTACACATGTGCGGCAAACATCTGAAATGCGTAACGTCACTTGTGTCACTAAGCTCCTTTGCGTACCGACGGACTTGTGAAGCTTTTCCAGAAGGCGCTTAGATCACTGGACGACAGAGTTGGTGCCGTGCGCACAGACGGGGCTGCTGTTAACGTCGGTGTGTACAACGGAAGTGTGCCAAAACTACGCCAACTGGCTGCGGAGGGAGACTCCCCTGAGCATATTCTGTGCCCTGCGCACACATTGGAGAACTAGAATTTAGTTCATGAGAACTAGAGAGCAAGTACTTTCATGGGAGAAAAAGGTTCCCATTTCTGATTGGCTGGGCGGATTGCAAACCACGCCCCGTAAAACTCCAAAAAGTTTTGTGAAACCGCCATTTTATTTGCTTGCATTAGCATTATTAGCATTGCAGCTGGGACTCCCAGCTGCTTCTACTGAAGCCAGTCCCCAACTCCGGGGACTTCGGGTGGCAGTATACGCCATGAAGTTGTTTGTGGCCTGCCAGTAAACCCAAAGCAGAAGAAAGAAGAAGTGACGTCAGCGGCTCATTTGCCTAATCTTCCCTCAGGGACCTATTCCGGTGTGAACGCGATCTGCTCTTTAGTTCATCAGAACTAAAGAGTTCTGATGAACTAAGTTCTCATGAAGTAAGTACGGCAAAGTACTTGGTGTGAAAGCGCCTAATGGTGCTCTAGGAGGAGATTCAGGTGATAAAGGGGGGGGGGGGGGGTTACCTTGGTTGGTGATTGGCTAAGTATTACTCAAGCCAAAACATCGGTATGACATCATAAAGTGGCCAAAATCTGATCAGCTCATTTTCAGACAACTTTCAGAATCTCTTTACACAGAGGGGACACATGTTGATGTAGAAGAGACATGAACAAGTGGATTTTGCATAATAGGAGACCTTTAAATACATCAACGTGTCATTATCTTTCATTTTGTGGTCGTTGGAACATGTTGTGTTGTATCCAGATGAGAAGCACTCACATGAGCAGGAAGACGCTGGTGATGCCCAGAGTCGCCTCGTGGTACTGAGGATTCGCGATGTTCACCAAAAGTGGGACCTGTGACAAAAGTCATGTCAAGAAGAAGAAGAGCAGCAAGCTGACTAGAAAGACCACAGTACTTATTTTTGTATTAAATTGCAATTAAAAATGTTCGATGTTATTCCTTAAAACTTGTATTATTATCATCATCATCATTATTTGAGCTATTTTTTTATTTTGTCGCTTGGAAGAAAGTCTATAGTCTAAATGACAATGTATCTGTACTACAATGAGAAGAGGTCATTATTGCTATCAGCAGAAATATCCATATTAAAAGTTACCTGTGAATGGCAGCACTTACCATGGAGTGCAACTCGGGTCTGAAGCGGTACAGCAGGTGTAAAACTCTCACGTAGAGCGTCTGAATGGACTCGGGCTGAAGGGAGAGTAGAGCAACACGTTAATGATCTGATTGGTTACTTAGATACTAAATACTGTTCATATGTACATTCATTATGTGACCATCTATGTTTCCTGTAGTTATTGAATTGCTCTTTTTTACTGCACTGTTAGTGTACAGTTGTATTATGCTGCTGTGTTTATTGTATCTTTGTAACTCTGGGCACAACAATTTCCTTCGGTATAAATTAAGTCTTATCTTATCTTAGGGTTTCAACATAGAGGCCACTGATTTGGTTGCTCCTGTTTATACTGTCAGTGTAAAGATGTCCCCTTCCTGGGTTCAAGGGTCCTGGTTCTGTGCAAATAAAGTAATCTGTGTTTAGGTCTGCTGTAGGGCTGTGCAATTAAATCGTATAATCTCGATTACGATTTTGGCTTGCAACGATTACGAAAACAACGTAAAAACGATTTTTTTTTTTTTTTTTTACTTTTTTCTTTTATTGGTTTTTCAGTTGAATTATACTTACAGTTCAGGGTAATCAACTGTTAAATGGAGTTGTTTTTTTCAATAAATGGATGTTTTCAAAGTAAATGGATAATCGTTTTTAATAATTGTGATATCAATTATTGACCAAAATAATCGTGATTATGATTTTTGCCATAATCGCACAGCCCTAGTCTGCTGTAACTAATGATATTGTTTCCTTATTGATGCATCTGCTGCTTATTTATTGGTTGATTAAGTCACTTTCAAAACAAATATTCCAAACGTGTGCTTATTAAAATAATGTATTGCTATTTATATAACATACAAATAAATTGTATATAAGTAAAAGTGATGGTTTTGACATGATTCAGAAGATAATTGGCAAATAAATATGCAATTGAAATAATAGCATTATACAGTATGCTCATCAGTGATGGAAATACTTTTCAGAATCTTTACTTAAGCAAATACCACACTGTAAACATACTATAAATGCTATAAATTGCTATTAATCAATCAAAGTGTATTTATATTATTATATTTGTGCAGAAAATGAATATGAACCCCTCTGAAAACCTTGTAGGGAGCAACAGAGGAAGACATCTTTTACCAGGACGGACAGTAAATACAGAGTCCTGCTAAATGTTTTTCTAGTAAAGTATTATCATCAAAATGTACTTAAAAGTACCAAAAGTAGAGGTAGCTGGATGCTCAACATTGTCTGGAATTAACCGTCAGTTTAGGCTATCAAGTATTATAATGCCCTGCTTTATACGATATTCTTATTGTCCCCGTAAGGAACATGTTCTTCTGCTTCTTTCTGAATAAACGTATTCATGATTTAGTGGCTTAGTTGAATACTCGATTCTGATTGGTCAATTCGGACATTTCAGAGGTCAATATGACAGAAGTGCAGACCGTTGTTAGCACTATAATGGACCGTTTCTAAGGAGGATTGAGAAAAAAACTCCCCACCGTACAATAATGCATGTGTTCTGCTCTCTTTGATGAGAGATACAATGATTTTTGCCATAAGTTCTTAGAGAAATTGATACTGTTGGACTCAGTACTACTTGGTACTACTACCACTAGTACAATCAAGTGCTTTTACTAACTGGCGGTACTTTTTGAGTAATACTCGTTAAACTGCCGTTGGTGCGCCGTTGAACAGAGTTTATTTTCTTAGCAGATAAAATACGATAATTTCCCAGTCAATAGCCTACAATAATTTACATTAATATTGGCAGTCGTGTCGATAGTTTTTTTTTAAGTATCTGGCCATGTTAATAAGCTGGATAATGTGCAGCAAGCCGGTCATTATTGGATAGAATACATAACCAACAGTATAAATCCACACAGTAATAACAGTAAACGGGGCGGTTACCTTGGGAACAGGGATAAGATCGCTCTTAGTGAAGTATTTGGCCTCCTTTCCGGTCAACACTTCAGCGCTCGATAGAAGTTACTATGGCATCCGCCGTATACACGGGAAATGTGTTTTCAGTCTTTTTGTAGCGTTTAGGTTCCGAGAAAATACAGAAAATTCAGTAACGCTTCTCCAAAGGATACAAAAGTTCGCCGCCTGAAAAACGACGTCCTCGTTGATTCTGGAGGACGCATCTGATTGGTCGTTTTATTCTTCCTATTCTATCTGTCTTCGGGGTTTATTAGCGGTTGGGGCCACCAAGGAATGGCGCATTAACCGCAACCTACTGGACTGGAGTGTGGGAGCAGTAAGATTGGCAGTGTTGATAACCAAATAGGAAAAACATTTGAAAAAAAAATTTAACAACTAAAAATTCTTCCGGTTGCTTTAAGACTTTTTCATGGTTCAGCAGTTTAAAAAGACTTCCTCTGACATGTTTGACGGTTTCCGATTACCATTAACATTAAATAATGGTTTAACCTCTGTTTTTACTTAATGGTAATAATGTTCTGTTGAATGTCTTTTTAACGATAGTGTTAGCTAATTTGTCTAACTTCCTTCAGTCCCCGGCCTTCCGGCTTACCCCAACATGAGCAGGAAACCAAAGGAAGGAGATTTCAAGTCCTACATTGTAACCCAACTAGCAAGTGCAATATTTTGTAGTCGACAATATATTGTCCTGCGTACCGACCTCCCAGATTTCAAGCTTCACAGAGCTGCTAGGCTGTCAGATGCTACAAAGAACTCTGTTTTTTTAAATATTAATTTATTCTAACATATTTCACAATTAGACAGTTTACACATCCAAAAAAACAGAACCTAAATTAGTCGAAGCGGGAGGGGCAGAAAGCAGCTTATACAGAGGGTGCGCCCTCCCGTTAGTCATCCTGTTGCAGGATAAGTAAACAAAGATAATTCCATATTAAATACTCACACAGATGAACACAATTATATACATACATACACATACATTTGTACGACATATACATACAGACAGACCCCATTTCAGGGGTGAAAATAAAATAATAAAGTAAAACAAATTAAAAAATGTAATTCCTACAAGTCCATGTTCTAGATAACAAGACTACTTTTTATGTAAACTGATAATTAGGATACTTTTGATAATAGTCATTATAATTGTTATAGTATTTATAATTATAATTATTATCAGTATCACATAATCATATACACTTTTTTTATTAATCTATTTTTAAGTTATTCAAAGACCACAATGATCGGATAAAGATAAAAAAAAGAAAAACAAAACAAAAAAACATTAGAAGAAAAAAGAGAAGAAAAAAAAACGCAGCTATTTCCCGATGTTAGAGTAGTCTGCTAATAATTGTTTTAGGAGTCTTGATTTGAATTTAAAGGTACATTACCGTCCCTTACTTCTTACTTGACATGCTACCCTTTCCTCAACCTATCCTGAGGGAGTCCATGTACGTAGACAACGTTAGTTTTGCTGGCTATAGAGGGCTTGAACTGTCGGGGGACACCTTTCTTCTTCCTTCTCTCTGTCTGTACCTGTGTACTCTCATGTTCCGAATAACCCAGCTTCCCCCAAATTTCTTTTTGGTGTCTATCTACGCCGGGATCCTGAGTCGTGGCTGATCCTGTTGCTGCGGTCCTGTGTCCTGAATCATGTGTCCTGGATCCTGCCTGGATCCTCTATCCTGAGTTCTGGATCTGAGTCCTGGACTTCGAGTCGTGGCTGAACCTATCTCTGCGGTCCTGCCTGACTCATCATACTACTTCCCTGATGGCTCCCACAGGATTGTTGACATCCTCGTGGATTCATCTTCTTATTATAGACACATGCATTTCCAAACATTTGGTCTGCCTACGCTGTAAAATGTATTCTCTCTTCGATGTACACACGGCATCTATTGCACCTCTGTCCGTCCTGGGAGAGGGATCCCTCCTCTGTTGCTCTCCCTGAGGTTTCTCCCATGTTCCCCTTTAAACTGTGGGGTTTTCTCTGGAAGTGTTTCCTTGTACGATGTGAGGGTCTAAGGACAGAGGGTGTCGTATTGTCATACTGATATTCTGTACAAACTGTGAAGTCCACTGAGACAAATGTAACATTTGTGATATTGGGCTATAACATTGATTGATTGATTACTGCCACCAACTGTACAAGAGTGTGAATCGCCATGTCATCCAATCAGCCCCGTTTCCCCCGAAATATTTAAAAAGTGCCTTCCTGGTTCCCCTTACCCTTTGTTCCCAGTATCCCCATCAGCATAGGCATCACTTATTGAAATGGCCAATTTTGTTCCCACCACTTTTAAAAGTATAACATAGAAATGTTCTGAAAAATAGCGTGCACAAAGAAATGTAATGAACAAGAACACTGGTTTGGTGTCAAGATGTGCAATTTGGACATGTTAGTAGACTTCTAATAGAAAATGCAGCAGCATGGCACAGGCACTGCACTTTAAAAAAAGAATTAACTAAAAACAGAAACAAAGAATTCCTCCCGACTCTGACTTACAATGACCCCAAAAACACGCAGCAGTGTTGTTTGTTCTGTTAGCCTGAAGTAAATGTTGTCATGTTGCCTTCTTCTCCTGCCAGAGAGAACCAGAATGCGTCGTTTTAATGACGGAGATCATTGAAAGTTGAACGAACTCAATTAGTGTGCTTACAAAGTGAATTTAGACCTCTTTATATTCCAACTCTACCTCATTGCATCAAGACAAAAAGCAACAACATATATTTGTATTGATTCTATGTATGTGTGATATATAACCTACTCTTCTTGAGTCCATATGTATGGTATTTACACCTGTGCAATAGTAATACAGTGATTAAAAGACAGTACAACACCAGAGTATGTGGGAATGTACCCCCTGTCAAATGTAATGGACCCAAAGAGATGCTAATGTTCTGAAGACAAAGAGAAAACAGACACTTTTTACATTAATAGAATATTTTATTTAGAGGAACAGAACAGCATAGCGGTGTTCACATCTAAATCAGTAAATAACATCCAAAGAAGGAACTTCATCCTCAGAACAGGAAAGAGTGACGGGGAGAAGAGCTGCTGGAAGAAAACAGAAAGGAGTAATTAGAGACAAAAAAACATCTGATAATAAATACTGAGAGTTTAATGTTTCTGACAACCCGTAATGTTATATCTAAGTTAAAGAAGATATCCACTGCTCCTGGTACTGTGATGGGTTTACTAAATCCATCAAGACTTTACTTCTCAGATTTTACTCTTCTTGATAAAACACTCACGTGGTTTTACTTTGCGGTGGGCCGCACGCTCTGGAAGACGCCGGCCTCCCTCATGGCGGTGAACTCTTTGACGGCGTCGTAATGCTTGTAGAAGTCAGCGTACGCCTGTTTCCTCGGCTCGGTCACTCCGTACTGCCGGGAGACAACGAAGAGAAAAGGTTGCAAAAAAGAGCAGAGAGTCAGAAAAGAGAAATTGTTAACATTAAACTTCTACTACTAAATTCTGTCCTCAGAGTTTCATTGATACGACGGATTAGATTCCATGAGGTTTAGTTGTTTTCCTGCCATTAGTGTCTGCTAAAGGGTAAGTGGGGTCAAGATGCTGATATTGTTCCTTCCATCGTGTCAATAGAGGAGGCAGCGACGTCTTTTTTAGGCTGATCCTTAAGTTTAGCATCTTCCTGGTTCCCTCATAAAAGCCACTGGGAGTTCTCCATGTGATTTTGGATTATTTTAGAAAATAATCTCTGTGGCAAACAAACGTTTATGATACTTACACTTTAGTTCAGCAGGATAATCTCCACATATTAACACCACTTTATGATTTCTGAAGTAAGTGGCTACGTTGGGCTATAAAGGACTACAGCAACACGGTCACATGACTTCACGTCACCACCGCCTAAGCTAAAGGCGGCTAATGCTGGGCTATAAAGGAATACACAGCACGGTCACATGACTTCACGTCACCTACCCGCTAAGCTAAAGTAGGCTAAATGCTTGGCTATAAATGAACCACAGCACGTCACATGACTTCACGTCACCACCGCTAAGCTAAAGGAGGCTAATGCTGGGCTATAAAGGAACTACAGCACGGTCACATGACTTCACGTCACCACCGTTAAGCTAAAGGAGGCTAATGCTGGGCTATAAAGGAACTACAAGCACGGTCACATGACTTCACGTCACCACCACTAAGCTAAAGGAGGCTAATGCTGGGCTATAAAGGAACTACAGCACGGTCACATGACTTCACGTCACCACCGCTAAGCTAAAGGAGGCTAATGTTGGGCTATAAAGGAACCACAGCACGGTCACATGACTTCACGTCACCACTGCTAAGCTAAAGGCGGCTAATTGCTGGGCTATAAAGGAACCACAGCACGGTCACATGACTTCACCACCGCTAAGCGGCCTAATGTTGGGCTATAAAGGAAACTACAGCACGGTCACATGACATCACCCCCGCTAAGCGGCTAATGTTAGGCTATAAAGGAACTACAGCACGGTCACATGACATCACCACCGCTAACCTAAAGGCGGCTAATGTTGGGCTATAAAAGGAACTACAGCACGGTCACATGACTTCAACACTAGGATACAGGAAGTGTTTAATGCTGACTAACTTCTGTGTGTAAATCAGTGTCAGAGTTAAGGTCTCACCTTCCAGCCCACAGCAGCCAGTATGGACAGAGCGAACGCGACGATGGGAACGTGAAACCTCAGACGCTTTGCCAGCAAACCCCTCATCAGAGGCTTTTGCAGAGACATAATGGATCACCTGTAGAGAAAAGAAAAAGTACTTACTCAATATGGTAATGTGTATTTAAAATAGAAAGAATAATAGTGTGTTTTACGCAGAGTAAAGACACATTGAGACCATTCCTTTATAATATTCCACCTTGCATCGTAATAAAATGAAATAGTACAAGATATTTGGTCAAAAGTTTGGGTGACTAATACTTTATATTTAAGGTACTGAAAACAATATTTGGAAGTTTTTTAAAACCTGATGAAATATTAGCAGATGGTATTTTTATATAAAAACAAAAAAGGTTTGGTGCAAATATCTTGGATTTTTTTTGGAAAGTAGTGACCGCGAGATATACTCAGCATGAGAGTTTAAAAATAAACATGATCTGTGCTGAGATGTGAAGAAATAAGGACACACTCATCCTGATATCTGCAGAAACATATCGAGTAATCCCAGGAATCACAGTGTAACTTTAAGTCACGAGACGGTCTGTAAACGCTTTCAGTTTTCTGACCGAAGAGTGCGAGTATGTGACTGATAAACATATGTGCAATGACAACAAAGTGTAACTGATGTGTTTTACATGTATGACATCATCATCAGTGAATGCCTCTTCATGCTTGCCATGATTTCACGACCACATTCAGAATGTATTTATTGTCCTCATACATAGGTATAACAGCATTTCCTTTGCATCTCTAACGGCATTATTAAAAATAGACACAAATAAATAAAAGCAGTGTTTAAAGTAGACGTAGCTGACAATGCACTGCACGGAGAAGGCACGAAGATTACATTGAAATAAATGGCAATGAACATATTTGACAGATTATGACATTTTAAATATATACAAAGCGCCACAAGTTGCAGTGAATGTCATCTAGTGATGGGAATTATGGCTCTTTGAAGGGAGCCGGATCTTATGGCTCCATTCCTTTCAAAAGAGCCGTTTTTTTTTTAAAGGAGGCGGGGTTACTAGGTTTATCTGCGAAATAATCACCAGGATAATGATTGACTGTATTGCCAGACCTAATGTCAATAATCTGCATTGTAAACATGACACAAGGTGGCGCCATATCCATGTTATCATGTCAGTGAATGTACTACTTGAATTTACCCTCTGTATGTGTTAAGTAAATAAAGTTGCCTTGCCTTGAATGAATTCACGCAACTCTTAATATTAGATACTGTGTTTTTAAGTGGCAATGGAGATTATTTGTTGACCCTGCTTTAAAGGATATTTTGCCTTTACAAATGGTGCGCTTTATCACTGCCTGGGTTTTGGTTTGAAGTGCATCCAAAGGCTGCTGCGTTTTTCGCGTTTGGCTCATTTCCATCCGAAAAACACGTCGTCTACCTGTCCTGTACCACTTGTTATGACTTCTCTCTCGCGCGTATTCCCTTAAGACCCACCTCACTCCTCGTGCTGAAACCTACCAATCAGAGTAGGGGCGGGTCTTCACAGAATACATTTGGTGAACAAAATCAAGCTTTTAAAAGGCGAGTGGATTTTGGCAGGCAGTGACCAACGAGTTTGAACGATTAAAACGAACGGCTCTCACCAAGTAGGACTCGGTTCAAAGCCATTCAAAAGAATCGGCTCGTTCGCGACCGACACATCACTAATGTCATCTAGTTTCTTGACTCAGAGACAGTTTCATCCCACAGGCCATAAGACTATTAAACACCTGAGGCCTGTACTACGAAGCTGGTTCAACCTAACCTGGATATGTTTGAGTTAGCTGGTTGGCCCAATCCAAAACATACGCGCTCTCGCTAAACTGTACTACGACGCTGGTTATCAAGTGGATCGCTCAAGCCAGCCGTGTCCTATCTAGTTAGGTGCACGTTCACATGAAAGGGGTGGTATTTGGAGCATTCGACCAATCTCAAACATGGACAAGCGTACTGACAGCGCAGCGTCATACTTCCTGAATGAAAAGTGAACTTTAATATTAGTCAACTATGAAGAAGTTAAACTTTAAACATCCATGACTTAAACACTTTATCCAGGATCAAAGCCACATAGCTGCACCTGCAAGGTGAATACAGCTGGTAAAAGAAAAAGTGTTTGAATGCGTACATTAACAGGTTTATGAAATCCACTGCCCGTCCAAGACACGATCTGACTTTAATTACATTTGACTCCAGTGTTTCGTCAACTTAATGTGTTGCTTAAAATAATACTTCTGCATACAGTATGTGACACTGTGAGTGTTGCACGGCCAGATACGGCCTCAGCTGACTCAGATAAGGAAATATATGATACATTTATGATGTGATATGATATTGAATGATAATGAGACACATCAACGTCCTGCACTCACAGTGCCGCGGACTGTACTTAATGTTACTCTGATCCGCGTTACTTATGTCGTGGCAGATATTTAAGTAAGCTTTCTTAACGCTAATGTTATAATAGGTTTGATTGCTCTGAAGATGGGAGGGGATATTCTATAATTTCACGTTCACACAGTCATTGATTTTTGCCGGCCGTCTTTCCTG